TCTTCTCGTCGTTCTTTACATGTCGGCTGATTCCCACGCATCAAAAACAAGTTCTCGATCTCCGTTAACTTTAGTGTGCAAAATCTGAGATCAGAATCACTCGGATTCTTCTTCAGGTACTCTCTCGTTGTCGTCTCACTAAATTTCTTCACAATGCGTTGATTCCTAGGGTTTACTTAGTTTCCAGAAATTTTCTAGGTTTCTCTCGTGATCGTAATCTTTCTTTTGCTTTCTTCACTTTGCAGTGTAATTAGGAATCTAATTTTCCTGCTCTCGATCGTTTCTGGTGCAACTCTATGCATGTATGTGTGTTTGTTTTTTTTTTTAAAAAAAATATAGTTTTTGAGAATCATCTGACTGAGAAGAACATGAAATTTTCCTTCTGTGATTGAAAAATAATTCTTAATTAATTTATTGCTATTCTAATGGTATTAGGATGATAGAATTTTGACTTTGATTTGGATTATGATTCTTAATTTGGAATTTGAAGTTTATCTTCTCTGTTTTTTTTTTTTTTTGTTACTAGGGGTTTTTGAAGAAAGAAGAGTTGAATTAGATTGCCTCTTCTCCTGGAATTTAACAAGCTTTGATCTGCAAGAATGGCTACAAATACTTCAGCTGGACATGCTTGTCCAGATCCAATGAAAGCAGCCTCTAATGGAGTTTTCCAAGGAGATAACCCAATAGACTTCGCATTACCTCTTGCTATCCTGCAGATTGTCATTGTTGTCGTTCTCACTCGTGTTCTTGCTTACCTTTTAAGACCTCTGAGACAACCTCGTGTTATTGCCGAAGTCATTGTGAGTTTTCCTTCATCCCTGCCCAATTTTCTTGAATCTTTGATCATTTTTGATAAATCAGTTTGATTTGCAGGGTGGGATTATGCTTGGACCGTCTCTTCTTGGCCGTTCCAAGGTTTTTCTGGACGCTGTGTTCCCAAAGAAGAGCCTGACTGTTTTAGAAACTCTGGCTAATCTCGGCCTTCTCTTCTTCCTTTTCCTCGCCGGTCTAGAGATTGATACCAAATCCCTTCGACAAACCGGGAAAAAGGCTTTAGGGATTGCCTTGGCTGGAATCTCCCTCCCGTTTGCTCTTGGCATTGGCTCTTCGTTTGTTCTCAGAGCAACAATCTCCAAAGGAGTAGACAGTATCGCGTTTCTCATCTTCATGGGTGTGGCACTTTCCATCACTGCTTTCCCTGTGTTGGCTCGTATTTTGGCTGAGCTTAAGCTTCTAACCACTGAAATAGGACGGCTTGCCATGTCAGCTGCTGCTGTCAACGACGTGGCTGCTTGGATTCTCCTTGCTCTAGCCATTGCTCTCTCGGGATCAGACACCTCTCCTCTGGTCTCTCTTTGGGTTTTCCTCTCCGGCTGTGCTTTTGTCATCGTCGCTGCTATCATCATTCCTCCAATCTTCAAATGGATAGCAAGGAGGTGCCACGAGGGAGAACCCGTCGAAGAAACATACATCTGCACCACTTTAGCTGTGGTTCTTGTCTGCGGATTCATAACTGATGCCATTGGAATCCACTCCATGTTTGGTGCTTTTGTGGTGGGCGTTTTGATCCCAAAGGAAGGACCTTTTGCTGGTGCACTCGTTGAGAAAGTGGAGGATCTTGTATCCGGTCTCTTCTTGCCGCTTTACTTTGTGGCAAGTGGTCTGAAAACTAACGTGGCCACGATCCAAGGAGCTCAGTCTTGGGGTCTTCTGGTTTTAGTCACTTTCACGGCTTGTTTCGGCAAGATCGCTGGCACTCTCGGCGTTTCCCTCGCCTTCAAGATACCTATGCGAGAAGCTGTAGCGTTAGGGTTCCTCATGAACACTAAAGGATTAGTCGAACTCATCGTCCTCAACATCGGGAAAGACCGAAAGGTACAGACTTTTTTTTCTTCAGCCTTGAACACATTTGTTTTTGGGATTCAGCTTCACCAAAGATGTAACTTTCCTCTGTTTTTGGGATTCAGGTTCTCAATGATCAGACATTTGCCATAATGGTTCTAATGGCTCTCTTCACAACCTTCATCACTACACCAGTCGTGATGGCAGTTTACAAACCTGCGAGAAGAGCGAAGAAAGAAGGAGAATACAAGCACAGGACAGTGGAGCGAGACAACACAAACACACAGCTCAGAATCCTGACATGTTTCCATGGCTCTGGAAGCATCCCTTCGATAATAAACCTCCTTGAAGCCTCGAGAGGCATCGAGAAAGGCGAAGGACTCTGCGTCTACGCTCTACACTTACGAGAACTATCAGAGAGATCTTCAGCTATTCTAATGGTTCATAAAGTTCGCAGAAACGGGATGCCGTTTTGGAACAGAAGAGAGATCAACGCAGATCAAGTAGTGGTCGCTTTCCAAGCTTTTCAGCAACTGAGCAGAGTCACAGTCCGACCAATGACAGCAATCTCTTCAATGTCTGATATTCACGAAGACATCTGCACAACTGCGTCGAGAAAAAGAGCAGCGATTGTGATTTTGCCCTTCCACAAGCATCAGCAGCTCGATGGGTCGCTGGAGACGACGCGTGGAGATTACCGGTGGATCAACAGGCGGGTTTTGCTTGAAGCTCCTTGCTCCGTCGGGATATTCGTTGACCGTGGACTCGGTGGTTCGAGTCAAGTCTCGGCTCAGGACGTTTCTTACTCCGTCGTGGCTCTCTTCTTCGGTGGCTGCGACGACCGTGAGGCTTTGGCGTATGGATTACGCATGGCGGAGCATCCCGGGATTTCCTTGACGGTTTTCCGATTCGTGGTTTCGCCGGAGAGAATCGGAGAGATTACTCGTGTCGATGTGAATAACAACAACAACAGCGAGAATCAGATCGGGAAAAACCTAAATTCGGATGAGGAGGTCATGTCTGTAATAAGGAAGAAGTCGGAGGTGGATGAATCGATCAAGCTCGTGGAGAGACGAGTGGAAAACGCCGCCGTGGATGTTAGATCGGCGATTGAGGAAATGCGGCGGAGCAATTTGTTCTTGGTGGGTCGAATGCCAGGTGGAGAAATCGCGTTGGCGATCCGGGAAAACAGCGAATGCCCGGAGCTTGGACCTGTGGGAAGTTTGTTGATCTCGCCGGAATCTTCGACGAGAGCATCAGTTTTGGTGATTCAGCAGTATAATGCCACCGGAACAGCTCCGGATTTGGCGGCAGCTGGGACGGAGTTGTTGACTTCTTCGCCGGATAAAGAGTCTGAATAAATTTAGTGGTTAATAAAAACGGTTCGGTTTGGTTCTGGGGGGTTGATTTACGATAGTTACTAATTAGTTAGTGAAAAGTTGGTTAACGAGTACGGTTTAATCAAATAATAAATTGCAAGTCGCAATTTGAGACTAATGCGAGTACTGTATAATGCTTCTCATTGTTTCCAACTTTCCATTATATTTTATTTTTCATTAAAATTCTGATTAAATAAATACTGTATTTGGTGTTGATTTTAAATAAAATTCTGATTAAATAAATATAATTTTCTTTTGTTTATGTATGTATATTATGCAAAAGAGGTGAGAATTAAAATCTATATACTTAGTTGTGTAGTGATTTGCTTACGTGTCGTGTCATACTCACAATGATTTTTAAAGTGTTTCGTTTACATGGCAGCTCTAAAATGAGTTTCGGCTGCATCAGGACATTTTTTACTTTATTTACTGTTTATGTGTCTTTTCTTATTGGTTTTTACCTGTTAAAAATAACTTAAAACAATCTGTTCTAAATTATTGTAGTTTAATGCTTGATTTCGCTGCTCAAACCATTTCTAAAATTTTATAAAACCGAAATTTAGTAAAAATTTAATAAAAAAAATAAAAATCAATAAATATAATGTCTAATGGAATGATGGTATTTGTGATGTTTAAATTAGTGTATTCGACTTTAAATGATTTAGTATAAATATGTACATTATTTCTCTCTAATTCTCTACACCCTTTCTAAATTTTTTAACTCTTCCTTTTTCTTCAAATGAGTTCGTACGGTACTTCAAATAACTACGTCTTAAATACATAGAACAGTGATCAAAAGATTTTAAACTATTTAAACTAAATTATTTGGATACTAATATGTTTTTATCTACATTCTTCTATACTGTTTTCACGATAATGTCTTCAAACATTAAAATATAAGAAAATTTAATAACAAATATAATCAATAATAGAAAAAAAAAACAAATGAGTTCAAATTACTATTAGATTTTCAAACAATAAATGGAAAATTATAACAGTCCACGCAAAAACATGGGCAAGTTTACTAGTTTATATTTAAAGCTCTAAACTTGAAACTTGAATGTTAACTATCCTTTGTATAATACAAAAATTAAAACATAATCTATCCAGTGGGAAGATGTTAGAAATAAATTTTCTGTAAACTGAAATTAATTTAATATTATTTTATTCACAACATATATTTACTTGTTCAAACAAGTATTTACTTGTTCAAACAAGTATTTAAGTTAATCAACGAAAAAAAGGAATTGTGCAACCGAAATTTATCTGAAAAAATGATAAAATAAAGGAAATTACACAAAGCAAAATGTCAGAAGTGGGGTTTGAACCAACGCCCTCTTTCGAGGACCAGAACTTGAGTCTGGCGCCTTGGACCACTCGGCCATCCTGACTTTTGTATTCTTCATCAAATATATAATATATATATATAATGTACGTCAAACAATTTCAGATTTTTTATTGGCCATTTTTCTAATAGGATGCAATATATTATTTTCATGGAGAACTGATACAAATTTCCCAATATTCCTTTAGTTAGGGAATGAGTTTTTTAGCTAAAGATAATAACCAACAACAATATTTAACATTCATTCAAGTTCTCATACACATTAAATTTTGGTTAAATCCCAAAATTATACTAAACATAATAATAAGAGACAATAATCTTAAGAACTCTTCATAATGCGATATTCCTAAACACGTTAATGCATGGTTAGCTTTAACCCTTAGTCTAGAAGCAAGTTGGAGAACATGATCTTTGGGAATATGAGCTTCCGAAAAATGAGGAGTTGCCCTAAAACTGTACAATCAATTGTTAGCTATTATAGTTCACCAGATCTTGGAAATTTTAATATTATTTGATTTAAACTATATGTAGGAGAATGTGACAAAACAAACTATTGGGAATGTGGAAAGTCAGATAATGGAGAAGAAACTGCAAGAACATGCCAAAAATCCTTTCAATAAGAATGATGTTAGCTTCAGTCTCTTGAATGTTTGAAATTTAGTTACATGATTTAACTGAGGATGCAGAAACAGCCTAAGCTACAGGATTTAATTGAGGAGGCAGAGCAAAAGACATCATCACCAAAGTCTTCTACGAACACAAAGTTTTCGGATCTGCCTGAATCTGTTTCTACCGATTCGAGAGGTGGTTTACCAGAAGATACTATCCAAAAGATAGTAAATCAGGTTAGGTTCAGTGATACTCTTTTAAGACTTGTGATCTTAAATCTATCCAATTTTTGTTTCGAAGTTCTTGACTACTCAAATCACTGTCAGGTTGAATACTATTTCAGTGACTTTAACTTGGCCACCACAGATCATCTGATGAGTTTCATTGGCAAGGACTCTAAAGGATATGGAAAAATGTCTGCTGCTAAATCATATGTATCTTTGTGGGTTCGTTTTGCATAAAAGCATAATCTTTTTGTTCATGTGATTTCAGTCCCTATTCATGTTGTTACATCTTTGAAGAATATTGAAGCTGTCATTAACTGATTCTCAGCTTTCCGCAGTGCTACAGAACTCAGCAAAGCTTGTAAATTCTTTATCTTAGTGTGTGTGTTTTTGGTCAATAACCTTTATAGTGATTTGATGTTCTAACTTCTGTGTCATCTAACAGGTTGTTAGTGAAGATGGAAAGAAAGTGAGACGCATAAATCCGATTACGGCATCTGCTATAGACGAGCTCCAGGTACTTCACTCATTGGTGCTGTCCCTATATTTCTGTATACTAATTTTTAAAAGTTATGAATAAGGATAGTGTATTTGATTTTCTAATAAGTTTTCATATCCAGTCTCGCACTATTATTGCTGAGAATCTACCTAAGAATATTCGCTCAAAAAATCTGCTAAAGATTTTTTCAACTGTTGGAAGGTAACTAACTGTTTGATGATGTTATAAAACCTAGAATATACTTCTTGTTTTTATACAGCTGAGGTTTTCTAAAATTATGAGTGTGTCTTCAGTGTGAAGAACATCCGTATCTGCCGGACACAAAACAGTGTAAGCGGTGCTCCACCCGCAGCAAGATCAGCAAAAAACGATAGTATGCTTTTCAGTAACAAGGTTACTAGATGGATCCATGCGGCTTTGTTTTTGCCGTTTAGTTTTGGATTAAGTGGTTGCAAGATTGATGTCTCTTTGACATGTTCTACTTATAGGTCCATGCTTTTGATGAGTATAAGAAAGTTGAGCTAGCCGAGAAAGCAGTAAAGTCTTACCTACTCATATTTTCAGACTACGAAGTCCGCTTGATGAAAAAGCAAACTGTGATGGAGAGGGACTTGACTGAGCAGGTCAGAGAAAGTCAGGAAATGGAGAAGAAGAAACTCCAAGAACATGCCAAAACTATGGATAATTTGGAACGAGCAAAGAGAGAAGAGACTATGATGGGAAGGGACTTGACTGAGCAGGTCAGGGAAAGTCAGGAAATGGAGAAGACGGATCTCCAAGAACATGCCAAAACTATGGATAATTTGGAACGAGCAAAGAGAGAAGAGACTGTGATGGAGAGGGACTTAACTGAGCAGGTCAGGGAAAGTCAGGAAATAGAGAAGACGAATCTCCAAGAACATGCCAAAACTATGAATAATTTGGAACGAGCAAAGAGAGAAGAGGCTGCTTCATTGATTGAAGCTGAAAATCAGCGAAAACTGGTAGAAGAAAGAGAGCTTTCTGAGTGCGAGCCACATGTAAAACCTTAAAATAGTCTTTCTTTTCTTATAACTTGGTTCTGCTTTGAAGTATATGAGGTCTTAACATGAGAGTGACTTGAAGGACAAGAAGATGTCGGATAACAAGGATTTTGACACATTCGGCCGTAAAGTCTTCTGTGAAGATCATGAGGACATTCTTCTTTTCGAGAAAGTTCTCTCCAACCAGGCGTTCATCATATTCAGGTAATTACCAATTTTCTGTTCTTCCATATGAAGAATTGATAATCTAATATGAATGTGTGATCATGTATGAAGAAATGTGAAGATGGATGTATACATGAAGCACCACCTTGAGGCTGCGGACATATATGAAATGAACCCCCAAGGATTGTGGGAGACTATGCCAAACAGAGTTGAAAATATTGTTTTGAAAGCATGTGGGAATTAATGCCGGCTGTGGTAATGCATTCTTTCTTATCTGAACCAAACTGCAACTTGTTGTATATGAATTCTTCTAACACCTTACCATTTTCAGGACAAATGTTTTTAAACCCAACCCGGACAACGACCCGGAGTGTTCTTCGGGTTACCGGATCACTGGGTTAACCTGGATCAATCCGGGTCAATTATGGATCAACTAAGTATATATATTTGTTATGTTTTTTAATAAATTTTATAATTTTTGTTATATTTTTTCTGCTGTGTAAAAAAAACAAGTTTTTATAAAAATTCTGTCACTAAATCGCATTAATTATCTTATATCTTTTTGTATAATTTTTTTAATAAAATTTTAAATAAATATACACTAAGTATTGTGATCATATTAACTATATCTTTTAACATTTATAATTATATTTTTATTATATATTCCTTTTCTTTCTATTTTTTTTAAACAGTAAATTTTTTACTAGAAAACTTGATATTATAAACTTACAACTGTATAATGGTGAGAAAATTACAAACCATTCAATAAAATATAGAAAAACAAACCGTTATTACTACTAAAAACATTAAAATAAAAATATATATTAATTATTTCATAAAATCTAAAAATAATGTAGAAAATCCTAGTAATGTTTTTTGGTTTTGCTACCGCCTCGTTTTCTTCTTCTGTTACTCTAAGTGCTCTGCATCTTGTTCTAATTTTGCTTTTCAAAACTATATTGTTTTCAAAAAAAAAATCATATATTCATAAATAAAGTTCTAAAACTATTAATTTTTTTTCCAAACCAGAAACCCATCCGAATCGGATTTTGCCGGTTCACCGGGTTTAAACGGATATTTTTTGGGTTTGAACGGTTTAATAGCATCCGGATTTTCAACAAAAACCAAACCAGGAATCTTACCGGGTCGCGATTCAACTGGTCGGACCGCCCGGTCCGGTCCGGGTCTGAAAACACTGGGACAAAGTTAGTTACTTTGCTGCCGCCCATAAGGCCATAGAATCGGGAGGAGTCAATCAAACCATATTGAAGATGGTCCAAACCTTAAAAGAGACCAATTCAAGATGCTCTTTTGTTACTTTGGTTGAGATGACTCCGTTTGTTTTCGGGCATTTATCCATGATTCACTAAGTGCTTACTATCAAGGATACACACAAAGGTTTATTTTGAAATATGCTTCTCGTCTGGAACCCTTTTTCATATGGAAAAGTTTGTGAAAAGAAGTATTCCTTTCTATTTTGATCGTATGAAAAAAGTACACTAACTATACTGAAAAGAAGAGATAATTGAGGGTGGGAACCCTTTTTCCAGACTGTAAATTGTGTTATAAACTATCACAAAAGAAAGCTATCATTCATCATCACTGTCCAAACCGAGTTCTCGCAGCAGCTCGGGCACTTGGACATGAACTCCAGCGTTTGTGTTGTTTTCCTCTTTGGAAGTGGAAGTCCCAGGAAGTTTGGTCTAGATTGGACGTAGCTTACCTTTGGACATTCCAGAAAACATACCTCCAATGGATCTGATTGGGTGGCTTAATCTCTCTTTCAGCATGAAAATCATTGAGTACTCGGAGAGCTGCCAAGTCAATGTCAGGATGATCAAAGCCCGAGAGCAGTATATGGGTTACTTTGTTCTGCCTCTTCACCTCCTCCAAATGTCTCTGCCCCTTGCGTTTTCTTTTGGATGGTGAAGAATCGCCAGATTCTTCTTCTTCAACTTCCTCTTCTTCTTTGGTAGTCCCAACTGTCTTTTGGAACGGCTTTGGTGATTCCAACATGAGTTATGATTAACAAAATAAAATAGCATCAGCCCTGAAATGGGAATAGGTGGTCACTGACACATGCCAATATAGAGAATGTTCTAGGCATCAAAACCAGCAACTTGTCAAAACACTAGCGATACTTTCTGATAATGGCTTTTGTTTACCACAAATTATTTGAGAAGATTGGCTCAGTCTCAAGACCCAAGTTGTTCAAATACATGAATAATGTGACACTGACAAAGATATTTATATTCATCAACATTTTTAATGATCGAACCATAACGAATTGGAGCGTCGTTGGGAAAAAAAATATTTATGTTCTTTTCTCCAAGTCTAGGAAACGCTCTGATGCAAGCATCAGAAAACATAAACAGGATTAACCAAATATGACGTGAAGATCACGGTAGTAATGGAATCTTGATGATCAAAGGAGAACACAAAGCAAATAAAGGAGATAAATAAAAGAGTTGTCGTTATTAAAAGAAATCATCGAGTCTCAATGATCGACATGGTTATTTGCGCCCTCGTGGGAGAAGACTCGCCATCACAATTGGAAATGGAAAATCCGGTTTTAAAAGTACAAAATCAAATTGGTGAGAAAACCAAAAATAAAATAAAATAGGTTGCCGACCAAAAAATAAAGAGAAGGAAAATAGTAATACAAAGGCCGAAAAAAAGGAAATCAAAGAAAAAAAAAAAGGCACATCTCGAATCTTTCGGCCTTAATAAAAGACTGAAGATTTTTGTTTACAATCACCTTTCTACTTTTCTTTCTCTCTACTCCAAGGGAACTCCAAAGATCTCTCTCTCAGAAAAATGGCTGCGGCGATGGTCCTTGACCCTAGAGCATCATCTCCGGCCGTGATGGATCAGTCGACGGCGAACGAGGAAGATCTCTATGGCATCCTGAAATCGCTTAAACGGCAAATAGGGTTCACCGATATCCAAGAGGAATACGTGAAAGACGAGCAAAACAATCTCAAAAGGGAGGCCTCACGGGCTCAAGAGGAGGTCAAAAGAATCCAATCCGTGCCTCTAGTAATAGGCCAGTTCATGGAGATGGTGGATCAGAACAACGGCATCGTCGGATCCTCTACAGGCTCCAATTACTATGTCCGGATTCTCAGCACCATTAACAGAGAACTCCTCAAGCCTTCAGCTTCCGTTGCCCTTCACCGTCACTCCAACGCACTTGTTGATGTTTTACCTCCTGAGTCCGATTCTAGCATCTCCCTTCTCAGTCAATCTGAGAAGCCCGACGTTACTTACAATGTAAAGTCTTAACCTTTTTAAAAAAATTCAAGTCTTTAACTTAGGGTTTTGTGTTTTGAAAGTCTTAACCTTTTTTCTTTTATTGCAAGTCTTTAACTTAGGGTTTTGAGTTTTGAAAGTCTTAACCTTTTCTTGATCTTTGTGTATAGGATATTGGAGGATGCGATATTCAGAAACAGGAGATTCGAGAGGCTGTTGAATTGCCACTTACCCACCACGAGCTTTACAAGCAGATTGGTATTGACCCTCCACGAGGTGTGTTGCTCTATGGACCTCCTGGCACTGGAAAGACTATGTTGGCTAAGGCTGTTGCCAACCACACAACCGCTGCCTTCATTAGGGTTGTTGGCTCCGAGTTTGTGCAAAAGTACCTTGGCGAGGGACCTCGTATGGTTCGTGATGTCTTCCGTCTTGCCAAGGATAATGCTCCAGCTATCATCTTCATTGATGAGGTAGATGCCATCGCCACTGCTAGGTTCGATGCTCAAACAGGAGCTGATAGGGAAGTTCAGAGGATTCTCATGGAACTACTTAATCAGGTGAGAGCAGTGAAACAAAATTTTGGTCTTGTCTTCTATAAATGGCTGATACCTGACTTTCGGATTGAGTAACCTGTTTTATGTTGAATTCGTTGTAGATGGATGGATTTGACCAGACCGTGAATGTGAAGGTTATAATGGCAACCAACAGAGCAGACACTCTTGATCCTGCTCTCTTACGTCCTGGGAGACTTGATCGTAAGATTGAGTTCCCCCTTCCTGATAGACGTCAAAAGAGGCTTGTTTTCCAGGCAAGACAAGTATTTGAATGTTGAATAACTAGTGAAAAATATATGAAATCAAAATGTTTTCTTCAAAGAATGTGTTTACAGTTTACTGCTCTCTCTGTAAATATAACCATATAGGTTTTGTCACAGGCTTATTGACTGGTTTTTCCTTGTGTAGGTATGCACCTCCAAAATGAACCTCAGTGACGAGGTTGACTTGGAAGACTATGTTTCACGGCCTGATAAAATTAGCGCTGCTGAGGTTAGTTTCTCATGCTTCCATTGTTTCTGGCTCACTACTTAATGATAATGTGCACTTGAGCATACTCCTAATCATAGGTGGCTGTGTCAAGCATTATGTATGGATATTTAGCTGAGTGAGTACCATAGTCTTTGAATCCAACCTTGGCATTAAGATTGGTTTGATTTACTTAATCTGGCTGTAATGTAAATCGAAACTGACCTTACAAGGATTGCATGAAAGTATATATTGAGAGAATTGTGAAGCTTAAGATGATATATATATATATATATATAACACATTATAGTATTATGTTGAACAATGCAGATAACAGCAATCTGCCAGGAAGCTGGAATGCATGCTGTGCGTAAGAACAGATATGTGATACTGCCTAAGGATTTCGACAAGGGGTACCGCGCAAATGTGAAGAAGCCAGACACTGACTTTGAGTTTTACAAGTGAGGAGAAAGCGGAGATGATCATCTCCTGTGTTTTTTGAAATGGACATGGCTTCGCAGTTTAATGTGTGAACTATGTTACATCTCTAATTTATGGAGCTTAAGTTCACATGTGTTTGTGTTTAGTCTCTCAGCTTTTACCGTTCAATCACTTTAGAAGAAAACAGTGGAAGTTTAATATTTGATGTTGCATATTCTAATTGTTGAACTTCACTCTTTTAAGATATGTTTTCTTTCACTCTCTTTCTTTCAAGATCGATATTTCTTCTTAACATTCATCTTTTTCATTCATTTCTCTTATCTTCATTACATTGCACTCTCTTCATACATATAGGTGATATCCTCTAACTACTCTTACTAACTCTCATCATTACTACACCTTAACTCTAGGACTTTAGACTCTCTTACACAACTGTTCTAACTTAGACTTCTAACAACTCTCTTTACTACTTTAGCTACTCATTCTTAGACTTAATGATAACAAGTCCTACACTTACACACAAACTCTTATTCCTGTGTTCTTTTGGGCTTGTGCAGATCCGCAGGCCCACTTGACTAACCTTAGCAGCCCAACTTCTTCCTTTGACTAATCTTCAATTTGACTTTTCTCTTCTCCTTCTTCCTTTCCAAAAACACGATCAGCTCCTTTTTCAATTCTTCTTCTGATTGCTTGTTGCTCTTCTGATTGCTTGTTGCTGGTTGATGCTTCTTGTCTTCTTTTCTTTTTGCAGACATACTCAAAGGATCAACACTCAACACTAATGTGTGGAGCTCAAGTTCATATGGGTTTGTGTTTAGTCCCTCAGCTTTTTACAGTTCCATTTATAAAAAACAGAATTGGCAAAAGCTTAGTACAAGAGGCAGCAGCAGCCAGCAGGTAATAATGTGTTGTTTCACAGTTAGTCTTTTCGGGTTTGGTATTACCGTTTTAGGGTGGTATGGTACTGCTGTGATGATTACCATGATTCCTCCAGTTGTAAGTGACTCAAATCTACCTTATAGCTCTTGCTTCCGTTAAATATAGAGAAAGTTTTTATACGCCTCTCATTGCCAATAACTTGGACTTAAATTTATATGCAAATTATAAAACTGGTCATTTTGAAACAGAATCTTGGAAATAACATTATATACTTTTTTCTAATTTAGAATAATATTTTTCTGTTTAGATGAAAATCAAAAATACGAAATTACAAAATCGGAGCTCAGGCAGGGTGAAACTGTGAAGACATTCAATTCCAAAAAAAATGAACTCAGCAGGGAAGCTCCTGCGTTGTTTGAAAATCACTAAGATCATGTAATATGTTTATGCTTACTAACTCAATACACAGATCTACGCATGCATGTATGCTTAATATACACAAATACATGTATATTGGGCATTTAAAAAAAAAGAATGTACAAAAATCAACAAATGTTTTTTTTTTAATATAATCTTGAGGAAAACCTAAATTTTTCACATTAATCTTTTTTTCTTCTGCATGGCGCTCTCTCAAAATTTCCCCCACCAATTAAATCTCGTATATCCCTTTCTGTTTTCATTAAGATCGTTACCGTTGAGGGAGTTGCGGAAACCCTAATTAACAGATTCCAAACTCTGCCGTGATCATGGCAACTTCGGCTGATTCTCGGGCTGCCAACAACTGCACGGGAAGAGATAGAGATGTGGTTAACTTTGCAAGAATTTACTTAATGGCGTCAGTCAATTTTAATAATTGTGTGAACTTGACATTTTCATAAGTAAGCCTTGCTTGTCGGTGTGTATAGAAAATTTGGTTCCCTTCCTTGTCTTGCATTTGCACACATTTACCTACCAACATTGATTTTTGTAAGAGGGATGAGGAAAGAGGAGAAAGATAAAGGTAATGAATGAAGAAAGAAACAGGAAAGTAGTGAAGTGGACTAGAGGAGGAAGAAGTCTAGCAATCAATCTCCCACTGGTTGGTAATGGGAAGAGTAATAACACATAGGCTTTGTTTAGACGTTGAATGAAAGATTTGCAACCATCTCTACTTTTGTTTTTTTTCCCTCGTTTTTAAAGTCTCTGCTTGTTTCTGAAATCACCAAGGATATAGTTCTATTAGTGGTTAAACCATCTCCAACCCTGAGATCATTTTTGGGGATTTTCAGGTTTTTTTTTATTATTTTATTTTTTTTTGCATTGTGAAGAATCCTTCTATAATTTATCCCTCCAATCCTGATACTCTGTTTTGATTAATTAAGTGATACCTGTAGCGAGTATCAAAAAGAGAAATGATGAAACAGCGAAGCTTGGCCCACCACTAAACTTGTTTTTGTCCTTCACTAAAATGCAGCGAATCAGTAGCTTTCATGTGGCCGAACAACCTGCCATGAGACAGATTCTTCAATCTCTTCTGCAAGAGACGATACGTCCACGAAATTGAACTTTGAATTTTTAAAAATGACAAAACAACCTCTCAAACCCATGGACGATAAGAGACTCCGTTGGAGCTGCTCTATGAGAATTCTCAAGACTTTCTTCCATTATAGAGTTTTCATAGAATGTAGTCTTTGACGCGTGTGATGGTATTACAACCAGAGCTAGCGCTTCTAGATGTTTATGCACATTAGACCAACCAAATGTTGATAATTTAGTAATTTTAATAAGACCCCAAATTATTGACGGGCCACCACAATATCTCCAAAAAAACCTTCCAAAACGAAGCGTTTTCAAGATATCCTGAATTGGCAAAACCGAAAGTCGAAAGATAAGAAGAAACAGGTCAAGGCTCACGCACGCACATGGAGTTGAATAAACTATTTGTAGTCTTTGGACTCGATAACTAACTTCATTAGTGGGTCCGTTCTACTGCTGAAGTTGTGACACGTGTTTAACACGTGCTCCACTGTGTCCACATCACTTTGGAAGGATTTTTATTTGGAGTAAATGGCAAACCAAAGATCAACTAAATCAGGTTTGAAAATGATAGCTCACTTTTTTTCCAATATGAATATACCAAATAAATTTATTCAATTTGAATATTCATTGCTATGCACAAACATTATCATATTTTGGGGGGTGAACAGTAGTTAAACATATAATATAGCTGAATAAAATTGTTATTGAGAATGTGTATCAGTTTATAATTGAAAAATTCCTCTATTGTGAGCTAAAATTAAACTATTATATATGATAAATTTTTATTTTACTAGCTGGTTATATCTTTTCGTGTGGAAGAAATTCAATTCACATCTACCTTTTGAGAAGAAAAGGAACATTTTTATGTTATTTTATATTTCCTGTCAAAAGGAAAGATTCGTGGACAATAATAGAGTAGAGATTCTTGGAAACTCAAATCTAGTACGTGGCTTAATTTGGGACCCTTGCATAATCTAAAAGTTCTTACCTAATACAGTAATATACTTTAAAAACGCATATTACAAATTGTTTAATCCAACACAATTCCGCAAAACCATATGCGTGCCAGTGCTAAAATCTGATTTACCTGCAAATCACGACCCAAATCAGGATTGGCCACGCATGCCTTCCACGAAAGAGTTTTTTTTTTTGCTAAAATTTGACAAAGAGAGTTTATATCAAGAGCAGTGTTATTCCTTCAGTTAATAAGTTACCAAGAATTCCTTTGTTAACAAACCTTTTGATATCATTTATAAGATCTAAATCCGTCATTTTGCGTTGCAATACCTAAAAACTCTAATGACAATTTGGTTAACTAGCTCCCTATGTATCGTTTTGAAGATGGATATATAAAGACGTAGAAGGTAGTATCGCAGCTCAGGATCTCCTGTCCTGTATTAACGATTTCTTCAAATGCCTAAAAAAATTTGAACCATATAAAGAAGGTGTTTTTCTAAATTACAGATTTAAGATTTATGTCACGTAATGTTAGTATTACGTGACATAAATCTAAAATCTGTAATTTAGAAAAACACCTTCTGCCCTATACAAAGAGATTATTGTCGAAGGTAAAATATATGAAGTCAGGATGAAATCAGAAATATATATAAAGAAGTCCTTGCAAGGTGCAATAAAGACGTGCAATATAATATCCCATATATAAAAATAGACAATATAGTAAGTAGCATAAAATAATATATTTACTTAATCCACACACACATTATATCTCTCTATATATACATCAAACGTATACCTAACCTTACCCTATTTTGCGTTGAGAATTATTCAGATCTAAACACTCCTAATATAATCAACAAGAACTGAAAGATGTTCCCTTTCTTGAAGCATCTGTCGAGGTCGGTCCACGGCGACGATGCTCAGTCGTCTCCGGAGCTCAGGGTCGCCGTCTCCTCCGTAGAGACTGGAGGCGCGTGTACCACACTTACGGTGTGGAGAAAATCGCTTCTGGTGAGTTGCAAAGGATTCACGGTGATAGACTCGAAGGGAGATTTGATTTACCGGGTTGATAATTATGCCCGAACCCGACCCGAAGAACTCATCCTCATGGATAAAGATGGCAACTCCGTCCTCCTCATGCACCGTACCAAGGTATATACATATATATATATACATTAATTAGAATAAATCTATAGAAACAATTTTAGATTTTTATAGTCATTGCACGAATCACTATACAATATCACATTATTATTTTGGACTTGGGTTCAAGTGATTTACCGAAAGTAAATGTGCGGTATAACTCGAGAACTACTTGGCATTTTGAAAAATTTCGGAATCTGGTGATAAAAGGCTAAGTAGCTAACACTTAGCTAATACTGTATATGGATCTCACAAACGCTATACATATAAAATCTGTTATCTAATAAAGTAATTTAGGTAGGTCGGTGATATATCTAGAGCATTAACATGTTTTTAATAGATGAATTTAGATATTTCGTTTTGTTGATTAACATGTTTTTAAAAGACAAGTTGCTTTTAGCCGATCGAAGTGTCATACACATGTATACAATTAAAATAGCATAAAACTCTAAATAAAGATTGAGTGGGACCAGCTACAACACCGTCCACAATCGGTCACGTCAAAAGTACACAAGTATTCTGCATGTGGACAATTGTATTGGCATGAATTTCGTATAACCCGTCATATTCATAGCCATATCTACAATTTTTACGTATAATTACGTTTAATATATCTATAATGAACCATAGGGAATGAATAATCTACAAATCTATTCTAGCACAAAAGTTCTGACTTTTAGTCTATTTCATATGACCATAGTTATGTACAAGACGTGTAATATCTCCTGAGTATTATATGTTTGACTCTTACTTTCATCAAAACCCATCGTTTATTAATCTTGTATAAATATATCAAATTTAGGTGACTAGATCGTGAATCTAGATATCCCTTTCTTATTCAATCAAATTAATTGACAGACGCATTACCGAAAAACTCTGTAAGAACTAACTGGTGATCACCTTAAACCGAGCTACCATAGCTAATTGAATGTTTTAAATAACAATAAGATACTTACGCTTCTTCCACTATTCTGCGGATAAATCTGTATTTTGGTTAGAAATTTTCCTTCTACATGACCCTTTTGGTTTATACCCAAACCGGTTCAGAAAATTCGATATATGTAGAAACAAAATGATAGTTTCATTTATGAAAATAAGCATCTAGTCATTTTTTTTTCCATTTCTTATGTAGTCATGATCATGTAAATATTTAAATGGTTTTTTTTTTGAATTTTTTCAGAAGATTACGATAATAGATAGTTGGGGAATATATGAAGCAAAGGATACAAATGGAGAAGCCAAAGTGCCAAAATGCCCAATCTGGTACATGAGGAAGAACCTAAAGATGAATATTCTAAAGACCAAATCCGACATTTTAGCGTACGTATTTTCAGGATCGTTGGATAAGAAGAGCTCTTACGTCATCAAAGGATCGTATAGATGTAAATCATGTAAAATATTGCACGTCCCATCGAACCGGACAGTGGTGGAGATCAAAAAGAAAGAGGTCAAAACCAAAGGAGTCCGATTCGGGTCAGATGTTTTTGATCTGGTTGTTAGTCCTGGTTTTGACACCGGTTTGGCAATGGCTTTGGTCTTGTTATTAGACCAAATGTTCTCTTAATAAAAAATAAAATACTCTTGTTTATTTTGGTAATTGTATTAAAAATTAAAATACACGGTTCACTATACACATCATAAGCCTCATGAGAGTAAGTTTATTATAACATCAAAAGAACGAATCACTATCATCCTTGCCGGTGAAACAAAATTTCTCTTAGAGATTAATGGATCATCTTCTTGAAAATTAATAGACTCACACACAACATCAATGTTGTATTTCATTCAGGAACTATAGGGCCACCTAAATACCTAATGCATTCGCATTCGAGTTCTGTAAAATACTTAAGTCTTATTAGCTGATGATGAAGTGAAAATATTTACAACAAAGATTTTTAAAACAAGGAAATCTCAGTCACTTTTTTTGATGATGGCGTTTTCTTGAACGAGATCAACCTTGTTATGAAGGATTATGGTATCCTTAAAATTCATCAATCAATAGACGCAAGTTGTTGGGCTGTTTGTGGTTGCGGACATGTCTCATTAATTAGCAGCAAATTAGAGGTAAAGCACCATCCATAATTGCTTGAGCATTAATTGTCGCCATTAGAACATATATATCATGTCTTTATAATGAAAACACAAAAGCTCATTGACATATTATGTGTATACATCATTAGATAGAGAATTGTAACAAATCATCATCATACCGAACAATCCAGAAAAGAAACATGCCTCAATGGTTTCATCTTGCAATTCACATGTCTAGGGACATTATAAGACCTAGAGTTAAGAAATAAGTTGTTACATACATACATTGATATATATATATATATATATATAATCTTATCATATTATATAAAAGAAGAAGATTAAAAACAAGCAAGAACTCACATGTAGCACATTGTTGTAGAGCACATGTCATCTTCACATTTGTAAATCTTGGCATTTGCATATATCCAAGTTTAATGGTAATGTTACGCCAGGATTCACTACTGATTTAACAGTATTATTTTTTAAAACTGTAATGTTACGCTAATCTGCTATCAGATCGTGAGGAAATTAGATTTGTGGTCGGCTTTAAATTCTACTTCTTCAGTTGAAACTCTTCCTTCATAAAGAGTGTGAAAGTTAGGGGTTCATCATTTTGGCCCTTTTTTTGGGCTAAACCGGAAAGTTGGCATTTTATTTGGCTATTTTATAAAAAACAAAAAAAACAATGCACAAAAATTAATTAATATATTAATATAATACGCAGAACGGTGAAGTCCGTTGAACGGAAAGAGGTGCCAACGGAGAATGTTTTAGGGTTTTTTGATTGAGCAACGTAATTCTTACTTCATCTTCCAGAGTCAATTTGGATTGTCGAGTCACCTTTTGAAGAATCAATGGACAACGAAGGAGCAATCGTTTGATTTAGTTTTTAAAATTCCAAAATCTGATGTCGACGGCGGTTCGTCCTCCGGCGGGACCTGGCCTTCCGGAGAAGGCGGCAGCTGCACTTGTCAATTCCTTCCGATTGGCTTCGGTGACGCAGCGATTGCGTTTCCACGTTCAAGGCGGACCCAGGAGTGATATCAAGGAGTTCCAGATCTGCTGCATCTCTCTCGCTAAGTACGTAATTTTGCCTTCATAATCTCTGGGTTTTTGATTGAGGAATCGCTGCTTGTTCGTGATTGTTTCGATTTTGCTCTCGCAGAGGCATTGATTTTGCTATAGCGAATAATGAGATCCCAAAGAAGGTTGAAGAGCTTCCCTTGTTGCTCAAACAGGTTAGTTTCTCTTCCTGAGAAGTATGGAGCTTGAGAGTCGAGTCCATTGCTAGTGTAGTGATAGTAGTTTGGGTGTTATGTGGTGTAGGTGTGCCGACATAGAACTGATGTGTACACCAAGACGGCTGTTATGGTACTGATGATCTCAGTTAAGGTAATAGTAGGAGAGACAGTTCATGGCATTTTGTAGTTGTTTGGATTTGTAATCTGCAGAATTTCATTGATTAGGTGTCTCTAGTTTTCGATATCAATGCTTGATTTGTGTTAATGGCACAGCATGCTTGTCAGCTGGGATGGTTTTCGGATAAAGAGGGTCAAGAACTTATAGCTATTGCTGATGAGGTCTGTCTTTTCTTCTTCAGAATATTGGCATGAATCTGATATTGCTGAGTATTTCTATTTGTGAGGATACTAATGGTTTCCTTGTTATTCAGATGAAGAATAGTTTTGGGAGTCCCGGAAACACTAACCCTGGGATTAAAAGCCCCGGTGGTACATTATCGCAGATCATGGAGAGGTAGGTTTTGCTTTCACCGTCCTTATAACCTGTGGTTTTGTTGATTGATAGATTGACTTTACTCTAGGAGCGTGAGTATTTATGAAATTTTCATCACTAGCTAGCTAAGCGATGCCGTAAACTTCTTGACTAGAATGGTATTCACTGGTTGAAATTTATTTATTTCTGATCCCAGGTTCTATCCATTTGTGAAGCTTGGGCATGTTCTTGTTTCTCTTGAAGTGAAGGTGAGCTTGAGCTTGTCTTCTGGTTCTTGGTCTAAACATCTACATCTGATATGTTACCCTCTCACTGTGCTTTCCTCACATGGCAGGCTGGCTATACAATGCTGGCGCATGATTTCCATATCTCAAAGAAGATGCCGCATTCTCTCCAAGAAAGAATTGTATGTACGACTTGTCTGTTAGTCAATGATGTCGTTCTGATCTGTCCATACTGAAATCTATCTTTATCTTGTGCAACTAGGTGGTCGTAAGTAAGAATTGTATTATCTTAATTGCGACCTGAGAATTTAACCATTGCTTGCGTTGTATCTACTAGTCCTTCGTATACATTTTGAACCTTCGTTTCATCTTGTTGCCTTTTGGTTAGCGTATGATTTCACTTACTCCAGATCCTTGTTTGCTCTTCAGCGGTTATTTGTTGTCCAGACAGACAGCATAGACACATCTGCCTGTATTATAAATCCTCCAGAAGTCAGGTATGAGAAAATAATTTGCTATTTTTCATCACTGACACGAAATCTGATCGGGTATAAACTTCCTGGCTTTTGTATGAAAATTGCAGCATCCTGTTAAATGGAAAGGTGGTCGAGAAGAGAGTTAATATCGCAATGGTTTGTGCAACTTGAGTTTATTCGAATTTGTTTCTCTGAACTAGTTATGTGCATGTAGATTTGTTCAATGTCAATCTTCATTTTTTCCAGGATTCAGGGCCTCAACTCCCAACAAATGTTACTGCCATCCTCAAATACGGAACGAACCTCTTACAAGTGATGGGGAGTTCTAAAGGTATCTGTTCAGTTTATATATACTTTTTTTTTTCTGTTGTATATGTTTTCTAATCCTAATGCTTGATTGTTCAAAGGTCATTACATCATCGTGATTGCTTTTACGGGACTGATACTGTCACCTGCTAAACCGGTGCTTAAAGATTACCTTCAGTCTGCAATCCTCGAGTCAAGTCCAGGTAATTCAATAGCATAATATAGGAGAGAGGAAAAATCTCTTTATTGCACTGCGAATCCTTCATTGATTTGCAACCATATAACAGTAAGAAATTTTGTTTTCCCCCGGACTAATGGCTCTGTACCTTTTTTTGTCTGTCTATAGATTCTGACATCATCGAGGGGCCATCACGAGTATCTCTCAAATGTCCAATAAGGTACCACTTCTGCCTTTTTTATGTATCACTGTGTGATGTTATGATTGTCTTTGGTCGTTAATTTAGTCTTCATTAAAACAGTCGCAGCCGGATCAAGCTTCCAGTGAAGGGCCAGTTGTGTAAACATCTTCAGGTGATGCAACCTAATCTGATGCGATATTCTTTTTTTTTTCTTTTCCATCTTTTTAAATCGGCATATAGTGTTTTGATAGCCAATGGGTTGAAAGAAAGAGATAGAATTATGGATGTTATGTTAATATGTATTATTGATATGGTAACTTTTCTGCTGCAGTGTTTTGATTTCTGGAATTATGTCCACATAAATATGAGAAATCCATCCTGGCGCTGCCCGCATTGTAATCAACCTGTTTGCTACACAGAGATCCGTCTAGATCAAAACATGGTCAAGGCAAGTAACTATCTATGCCGTAATTTGCTTACTGCTACATCTTTACATATTCATATTAATATATAGAACTCGTATCATATCATATTTCTCAGATATTAGAAGATGCGGGACACAAGGCTGCTGATGTTATCATCCATGCTGGTGGCACATGGAAGGTTGCAAGGGAGAATGATGGGACCGAGGAACCTGTTCGTGATGTAATCATTCATGATCTTGAAGACCCAACTAGCTTCTTAGACTCTGGTCCAGTTGTTTTGGATCTTACTGGGGATGATGATGATGATGATGCTGAAATGGAACTATTTAGTGACACCACCAAGGTTGTGGACCGGAAGCCCCGCTTGCCAGATGCTCAGGGTCAATCTAGTGATAACAACGCAAGCAAAGATGCTTCAGAAGATGATTACGGTTCTTTGTTTAACATCTCTGATGTGATATCACTTGATCAGGTGATGCTAGATCACTTGAATACTGGAACGGGTCAAGAATACCCAAACTTATCCCAAATATCAATGCCTCGAGATCCAACACCGGTACCTGCGCCATTCTCACAGACACCATCTCCAAGAGATAGACCAGCAACTACTTCCACTGGCTTCACCGTACCGAATCCTTCTCCTCAATCTTCTCAGGCTCATGTTCCACCTGTTACGCCCACCGGACCATATCTTGGTAGAACCTCTAGTCAGAGACGGAACCAGACTTATACACCTCACGCACCATTAATGACAACTTCATCACAGGTTCGTGAATCTATTTGAGAACATAGTTTCTTCTCTTGAGTGAATGTTCATGTGTTGATAATATGTGTTCCTTGCAGAACCGGAGGCACCCAGTTCCAGTTACGAGCCAGTCTCCTGGGAATGCAACGTCTTTTGTTCAGTCTGCGCATATCCCCAGAGTACTCACTAGCCAGCCCAATAGCTATATCTTACAAAGTCTAAACAGTAGCCATGCGAGCGCTAAAAGGCACCGCCCAAGTAGTCCCACTGTACAATCTGTTTCCAGAACCAGTGACTTAGTGGATCTGGACTTGACTACTCCTGATACAACCAATTGGCGCCCAAGGATGCGAGGCAGTCTGTCCAGTTCATATTCCCCTGCTCTCGACCACATGATCATCCGACCTACCCAACAGTCTCAAACTAGGCTCCACGGTTCACAACCGGTTCAGACACCACCGGTTCAAACGTCTCAGGCTCAGCCGCCTTTTTCAACCGCCCCTCCAGTCTTCCCGACGCCTTCTGGACCGACAGCAACATGGAGGACTTGAGAGGCCATAACAAGGGAAGGTTGGTGCTTAGGTCACAACACTAACATAACGAACTTTGTAACTTATCTTTTTTTTTCAAGCGGCATGAACCTGATTTAGGATTCCGGGGTGCAACGTTTTAGTTTTGCTCGTAATTTAGCGATCAGTTACCTTGTTAATGACGATCAATAAATATATGTCTTCGTAAATTGGTGGAGAAGTATTCACAAAATCCGAAAAGGTTTCTATTTTTTTTTTCTCCTACGTACCAAAACTAGGAGCTAGAAAATTCGTGGTGGTAGGAAAATGCTCCGACCAAGTCAGCCAAAAAGTCTGAGGTTAAAACAAAAAATCTTAGACATTCTCTTATGACATTGAACAGTGAGTTAAGATCCGAAGACCACAACACTACATTTGCCTAATTCTTGCGACCTATTCTTGAAACTGGTTTTGAACTATCCCCAATTTGGTAAGATTTAGTGTTTTTGACTAAGTACGACTCTTCACTGATTTTACTGATATAATCCTAATGTTACGTTTTGGTTTTTTGTTTTCGCAAGGGTTGGAGAACGCAGACAAGCCGTGTTCTGGCGGCTATCTTCCGCCATCATCATGAACTTTTTTTAAATGTCTGTCCATTGCTTTGTCCCACATCGACAAAATGGAATAATATAGAGGGAGAAGCTGCACTATAAGTAAGAGTCTTCATCATTGCCCATAAGTAGTCATTGTTCAGCCAAGTAGTGGGCCCATAGCTCTTGGGCCTGTCATTGGGTCTAAAAAATTAATTTTAAAATTAACAAAATTGGATAAAATTGGATATCTGTGGATATCTGTAAATATTCAGTTAAGACTGGATTTTTGTATTTATTCTTTCTTCCAAGTTTAATTTTGATTTTTTTTGTCCGATCTCGCTGATGGCGGATATTGTAAAGCAAATCCTAGCGAAGCCGATCCAACTCGCTGACCAGGTGGTCAGAGCCGCTGATGAGGCTAGTTCCTTCAAACAAGAGTGCGGTGAACTTAAGGCCAATACTGAGAAGCTAGCCGGTCTACTCCGCCAGGCTGCCCGTGCCAGCTCTGACCTTTACGAGCGACCCACTCGCCGGATCATTGATGACACTGAGCAGATGCTTGAAAAGGCTCTCTCCCTTGTCCTCAAGTGTCGAGCCAACAGCCTCATGAAGCGCGTCTTCACCATCATCCCCACCGCTGCCTTCCGTAAAATGTTCGCTCAGCTGGATAACTCTATCGGTGACGTTTCCTGGCTACTCCGTGTCTCCGCTCCGGCTGAAGATCGCGGCGATGCTGGATACCTTGGTCTTCCCCCAATCGCCGCCAACGAGCCCATTCTCTGCCTCATCTGGGAGCAGATTGCCATTCTCTACACCGGATCCCTCGAAGACCGCTCCGATGCTGCTGCCTCCCTCGTTTCCCTGGCGCGTGATAACGATCGCTACACCAAGCTTATCATTGAGGAAGGTGGTGTCGTGCCTCTCTTAAAACTTCTCAAGGAAGGCAAACCTGAGGGCCAAGAGAATGCGGCACGTGCATTAGGGTTGCTAGGTCGAGACTCTGAGAGCGTGGAGCACATGATCCACGGCGGCGCGTGTTCTGTCTTTGGCAAAGTCCTCAAAGAAGGCCCGATGAAGGTCCAGGCCATGGTTGCTTGGGCAACGTCAGAGCTCGTCTCGAACCACCCCAAGTGCCAAGACGTGTTCGCTCAGCACAACGCCATTCGGCTACTCGTCGGTCACCTGGCGTTCGAAACCATCCAAGAGCACAGCAAGTACAGCAAGTACGCCATTGCCAACAGCAAAGCTACCTCCATTCACCATGCGGTGGTTCTTGCCAAGGAAAATCCCAGCTGCTCCTCCTCCGCCTCCTTGGTCAAAGGTGTGGACGAGGATCAGAGCTCCATTCCCCACCCGACGGGAAAACAAATGCCAAATCAGATGCACAATGTCGTCGTCAACACCATGGCGGTTCGGGCAAATCCTCCAAAGAAGTCGACGAACAATGGCGTGATTCAGAGTAACAGTGTGAAGTCCCCTAGCAATAATCAGCAGCAGCAGCACCAGAATTCGACTTCTAGCGCATCTAAGACTCGCGAACTGGAAGACGCAACAACCAAGTGTCAGATAAAAGCCATGGCGGCGAGGGCGCTGTGGAAGCTGGCGAAAGGCAACTCCACTATCTGCAAAAGCATCACAGAGTCAAGGGCTCTCCTTTGCTTCGCTAATCTGATTGAAAAAGGCAACGAAGAGGTCAGATACAACTCGGCTATGGCTTTGATGGAGATCACAGCCGTTGCAGAGCAGGACGCAGACTTGAGACGCTCCTCATTCAAGCCGAATTCCCCGGCTTGCAAGGCTGTGGTCGATCAAGTGCTTAGAATCATTGAGATTTCGGATTCTGAGCTGCTCATCCCTTGCATTAGAACCATCGGGAACCTTGCAAGAACATTCAAAGCAACTGAGACACGAATGATTGGGCCTCTGGTGAAGCTTTTGGACGAACGAGAGCCAGAGGTGACAGGGGAAGCAGCGGCTGCACTCACCAAATTCGCCTGCACAGAGAATTACCTGCACAAAGATCATTCGAGGAGTATTATAGAAGCTGGAGGGGGGAAGCATCTGGTTCAATTGGCTTATTTTGGAGAGAGTGGCGTTCAAATTCCGGCTCTAGAGCTGCTATGTTACATTGCACTCAATGTTCCGGACAGCGAACAACTGGCTAAGGACGAGGTTTTGGCAGTGTTGGAGTGGGCTTCCAAGCAGTCTTGGGTTACTCAGCTAGAGAGCTTAGAAGCTCTGCTGCAGGAGGCCAAGGGCAGACTAGACCTTTACCAATCAAGAGGATCAAGGGGTTTCACTTTCAATTGATTCATTGTTTCCATTTCGATTTTGATGGTGATTTCTTCTTCAACAGCGAACACATAATATACCTTGTTGTTTAAATACCACCTTTGCGGAGATCCTTCAAGGGACCGCGCGAAACAGTACTCGAGCCAAGCGAGGATGATTCCAAGTTTGTCTTGTGAAACGCGTATGATGCAGCAGCATCTTAGAAGCTTCATTAAATAATGTATTTCTTTTTATGGTGTATTTTCCTTTTGTTACTTCTTTTCTATTTCAAACTGAATTTGGTTTTTAATTTTTTTTTTCTTTTTTCGTTTTTGGTTCTGCTTTGAGATTTGCCTATATAGGCGTTGTACTCCTTCTTTTGAAGGTAGAGTTGATTAAATTATAATAAAGAGCTTTTGTTCTTACTTTGTTCTTAAAATTCTCGTGTTTTTAACAAACAAGAAGCGGTTCGTGTGAAATTCTTACCAGTCTTACGGTTGAGCTAGGTTTCACATCGGTACACTGCGCCAGGTTGGTATCAAAGCTTTGCTACGCTCCTCACGATGGTTCGTACACTCCATCTTTGACATAATTAACTTATTGCCAACGGCAACGATATAAGGTAGTCTATCCAAGATCTTCAACAATCGGTGGCGGCGTTACCTGCAACTCTTCAAGGGCCGAATTTGTAGCAGATTGCACGCCTTGCTCGTAATCATAGAGGTGACAATCACAATTCTGACGTTGATAACCTCTTCGCGATGATAATCAAGCAGTTCACGAAGACATTGATCCATGCTGGGAATCAAATTTTAAACTTAAAACTAAATTTTACTTTGTGCATTCGCACGAAAAATTTATCAAATTTTGTAATATAATTTATGATTTTTTTTGTAGATATTTTTTAATAAATGATAAAGATTCAATTTTTTGTTTATATATATAATTTATATTTAATTTTTTTTGTTAGTATTATTATGACCACGAACATAAAAACATAGTTATTACCCGATCATTCTAATAATCGAAGAAAGATAATTATTAAAAAAATAATTTTAATTCATTCATTCTATTAATCCGAAAAGGATTGTGGTTATAAAAAACATAATTTCATATTATTATATAATAACATATTTACTAATTTTGAAATATTTTTAACTTAATATATTGCATGTTTTGATAACTTAACCCGTATAAAACCACAATTATGAAAAAACCTAACATGTCCCATCAAATTACCGTATAATATAAATATTTATCAATCACAATAATATATTTGCTAATCATATGTTTATTAAAAAAATATTTTTTAAATTTCAAATGTTAAATTAAATCTAAACTATATTTAAAGAAGTTTAAAGTAATTTAACTTTTTAGACTTACACTTAACTGCAGTTTTTTAAAATATTTTAAATTTTAAATTAAATATAACTTATGTTAAGAAAATCTTTAATTATCTAAATTGATATGTAATTTTCGGAATTACTTTTTTTATATAAAAGAAAATGTATTTTAAAAAATAGTATCGCAACAAAATAGGATAATTTTAAAACAGTTTTCAAATAATTGTTTTTAAATAAAACTTTGAGAGTGTTTAAATGCAAGCACTAAAAGTGTTTATATTTTAATATAATAGATTCTAGAATATTTTGGTTCTGCAGAGGATTTGCCTGATTGGATTGTTACAGTGGAAGAAGTTTTAGAATTTAAAGGAGTGCCTTTGGATCGATGTGTCCCGAATCGCAACTCGTTTTAAAGGACGAGCTGTTGCTTGGTGGTCGCAGCTTAAGAAGTCTCATGCTCATGCAGGAAAACAGAAAATTGTTTCTTGGACAAAGTTGCAGAAAATTAAAGAAGAGTTTTCTGCCGTTTAACTATGAGCAAATTTTGTTTCAAAAATTTCAGAACTTGCGACAAGGAAGTCGTTCTGTTGATGAATATTCGACTGAATTTTTTTTAATGGCCAATAGAATTAATCTACAAGATTCTGAGAAGCAGATCATTGCACAATTTGTTTGTGGATTACGTCAGAATATCCAACACACCCTCAATCTGTTTAATCCTCTGACTCTGGCACAAGCTCATCAACCGGTTATTACCATCGAAGCACAAACTAAAGGTAACTTCTCGTTCTACTCGTTCCACTGCTCCGCCTCCAACTACTACTGAATTGACGACACTGAACCCGATAACTGCAATGGTACCTGTGGGTACAGCTCGCCCAATTAGACAAAGCACTCTTCATTGTTTCTCTTGTGGATGGAGAATTAGGACATCGGCAATTAAGTTGTTCAACAAGAAATCGTCGGTGTTTGCTGCTTGATACGGCATGAAGTGATGTAGAGGTCATTTATTATAACAATGAAGCAGAAGATCCTGAATGTCTTGAAGCAGATTCTGGTCCACTTCTGATGTTACACAGGTCTTGTTTGGCACCGTGTATCTCGATTGACTTTCTTCAACGAAATAATCTATTTAATTCTCGATGCACAATTCAGGGGAAAGTTTGCTCCCTAATTATTGATTCTGAAAGCTCTGAGAACGTTATTGCTATTTATTCAAAAAAAAAAAAAAAAAAAAAGAGAACGTTATTGCTGAAACGGTTGTGCAAAAGCTCGGCCTTAAGGAGGAACTACATCCTGCACCTTATAAATTTTCTTGGACGTCTTTGGGAGTTTGATCGCAAAGTTCTACATGATGGATTTCTATACACCTATAGTTTAAGCATCAAAATCGCAGTTTTACATTGCAACCGTCACTACCACAAAAGTTGGACCAATCCATGTTTCCAACGTTACTACTTCAGCGAGCACCGTTTGAGGTTGAAATGCATGAGGAAGGAAGAGTATTTGTCCTCTTAGCATCTCCAGCGACACTGTCTGTGCCCCACAATGCACTTGCTGAGTTCATCGAACTTCTTTAAGACTTTGCGGATGTCTTTCCTAACGATCTTCCAACTGGGTTACCACCATTGCAAGATATTCAATATCGCATTGACTTTGTTCCTGATGGTACTCTATCCAACAAACCACATTATCAGATGAGTCCTAGTGAACACGAAGAACTTCAGAAACAAGTCGAAGATCTGGTTACTAAAGGATTCTTGCGTGAGAGCTTGCTTGATCAAATTGGTACATCAACGATATTCTCCAAATTGGACCTTAAAAGTGGTTACCATTAGATTCGGATACGCCCTAGAGACGAGTGGAAGACAGCATTCAAGACGTGTGAAGGCCTTTTTCAGTGGCTCGTTATGCCGTTTGGATTGTCTAATGCACCTAGTACGTTCATGCGAGTCATGAATCAAGTCCTCCGTCCTTTTATTGGCAATTTTGTGGTTGTATATTTTGGTTTTTAAGTCTGTCATTGGACAATCATCTTCGCCATTTGCGTGAAGTTCTTTTCATGCTTCAACGAGAAAAATTGTTTGCAACTCTTAAGAAGTGTGAGTTCTGTTCTCCAAAGGTACACTTTCTTTGATATGTCGTCTCAGCTAAAGGATTGGCAGTTGATCCTAATAAAGTCTCTGCAATTCAGTCATGGCCAGAACCTACAACGCTTTCTGAAACAAGGAGTTTTCATGGTCTAGCATATTTTTACCAGCGTTTTGTTCCTCAATTTAATAGTGTGATGGCACCAATTACAAATTACATCAGTGAGGGTTCTTTAAGTTGGACGAAAGAAGCTGATGTGGCATTTTCTTTGATCAAAGACAAGCTTAGCTCTGCGTCGATTCTGGTTCTTCCAGATTTCAACCGAGCATCGAAATCTGGCATTGGTTCAGTTTAAAGTCAAGGTCATTGACCCATTGCTTTCTTTAGCGAGAAGTTAGCTGGTGCAAGATCACGATACAACACTTATGATGTGAATTTTTATGCAATCGTTCAAGCAATGAAACATTGGAGGCATTATTTGTTTCATAAAGAATTTGTCCTTTATACTGACCATGATGCTTTGAAACATCTTCACAGTCAAGATAGGGTATCCTCTCGCCCTGCTTCTTGGATTGCTTATTTACAAAAATTTAATTTTGTTATTAAGCATACTTCTGATTCTTCTAATCGCGTGGTGGATGCTCTAAGTCGTCGTCATTCTGCACTTGCGGTATTACACGTCTCTGTTCTGGGATTTTGTACATTTGCTGATTTGTACGCCATTGATGCGTTCTTTGGACCTGTTTTTCAAGATGCTAATGCTGGTCATTCTCCTGATTATACGGTTCATGATAATTTTCTCTTTCGAGGAACACGTATGTGCATTCCGGATTGCAGCCTCCGTCTGAAACTTATCTCTGAGTTACACAATGAAAGTCATGTATAATCATTGTGGAAGATGTTGGACACAAGTCTTAATATGAGTTCTGCCTATCATCTTCAAATAGACGGTCAAACAGAAGTCACTAACCATTCATTGGGGAATCTACTACGTTGTTTGGATGGGGATTCAATTAGATCGTGGGATTCTAAGTTACCGCAGGCCGAGTTTGCCCACAACCATTCACAAAACCGGAGTTTTGGTTTTAGTCCTTTTCAAGTCATTTATGAAATGATTCCCGAGGGCTGTGTGACTTGTCTACTCTCCCAGATCGAACTCGCCTTCATGGTGATCCAGCAGCCTTTGTTGACAATATTGCAACAGTTCACGCAGACACAAAAGCAAATTTAGAAGCTTCAGCTTTGAAGTATAAGAACACTGCTGATTCACATCGTCGTAGACTGGTTTTTGACGTTGGTGATCAAGTTTGGGCGGTATTTAAAAAAAGGATCATATGCCTGCTCGTACTTATAATAAACTCAAAGTAAAGAAAATTGGTCCTTTGAAGGTTCTCGAGCGCATCAATGATAATGCTTATCGTCTTCAACTTCCCGACGACATTAACACCTCTAATGTTTTCAATGTCAAGTATTTATCGCGTTTTGTTCTACAGAGTCCTTACACAATTCAAGGTCGAATCTTTCAAACCCGGAGGGACCTGATGCAGCATCATCTTAGAAGCTTCATCAAACAACATATATATTTTTATGGTGTTTTTTCCTTTTGTTAGTTTTTTCCTATTTCAAACTGAATTTGGTTTTTAGACTCTTTCCTTTTTTCGTTTTTTATTCTGCATTGACATTTGCCTATATAAAGGCGTTGTACTCCTTCTTTTGAAGGCAGAGTTGATTGAATTATAATAAAGAGCTTTTGTTCTTACCTTGTTTTTAAAATTCTCGTGATTTTAACAAACAAGAAGCTGTTCCTTTGAAATTCTTACCAGAGTCTCACAGTTGAGCTAGGTTTCATATCGATATGCTACGCCAGCGTATCACTCAACCGAAGCTGCCAACGATGCCAATGCACTTCTTGATGGGACAAAACTGTGGCTACATGCATCTTTCAACATTCGTTTACCTTTACAATCTCTGACTATCAATGTAATCTTTGCGTAATTCATAACCATATAAATAAACTGAATCACATGTTATGCACGTTAATCACTAGCTCATTAATAAAGTATCTTATATTATTAATTGACAAAGACACTTAAAAAACGTTTGTCTCATGTATTATTTATATGAGTGCCATGCTGAGGTGTCAATCTTAGAGAATTTCTCAGATTTTTTTTGAAAGTAGACTCAATTTACTAAACTAATTACATCAAATATCAATAACATTAATTTGGTTAAAGATTAGTATATATAAATTATATATTTAATACTCAAACATTTAATTTGTAAAGATATTCTCTCTTTCTATTTCTTATCAACATATTTATAAAATTTAGTACATAATATTACTTATATTACTAAATATTATATTTCTTATTTCATCTTTCTTTGATCTTTATTTTGTTTAAAAAAATCACATTATCAATTTAATAATAAGAAAATCTAAATATTTTTATACATATTATAAGTCAATTTTTTTTTTATAAAAAAAATCTAAGTTTAATGTTAGACCGGTTAAATAGAACGTATTAATCTAATTTATTATATTTAAAATAAATTTTTATTCATATAAAAAATACTATTAAAATTAATTATAAAATAATAATTATCTAACATTTATGCAATTGTATTACAAAATAAATAAAATTTTAAATATTATTTATAATTGCATAACTAGTACATATATTGTAAATATAAACAAATATTTGTAATTATATTTGTAATTGGATAATCAGATTCTTATTCACACTACATTCTCACATTCAGATCATTGATGAAAATAGACATCTTCCGTTTTGGATCATGTGGCGCCTTTGGAAACCCGTAATGATTTGGTTTTCGACAAAATCTCATTGATAAAGAAGAAACATTGAAAAGAGCCATTGATGATGTTAAAGAATGGATTAGTGCAAGTTCTACAGGCTCTTCGATTTCTGCTAACATATTTTCTACATCAGGGCATCACGATAGATGGCGACCCCTTTCTCGTGATATGATAAAATGCAATTATGACGCTTCTCACCATGAAGGTGCACGAGATTCAGGACTAGGATGGATCATCAGAAACGGCAATGGCACCTTCTTGGAAAGTGGTATGGGGAAATTCCAAGGTCGGTGTAGCCCAGAAGAAGCTGAATGTATACTCTAATTTGGGCCATGCAAAACTCATGGGGTCTTGGTTACCGTAAAGTCGAATTCGAAGGAGACAACCTCAATCTAACAAGAACTATCAACAATTACAAAGTGAATCTCAAGCTGCAACACTATCTCTCAACCATACACAATTTGAAACACATGCATGTTTGATGAAGTCAAGTTCACTTTCCGCAAACGCTCAGCCAATTCATGCGCTGACTTACTTGCTGGAACTGCCATTACTTCCCATCTTCTATTTATCATATGTTTCCTACATTTTTAAGAGTTCTTGTAGACAACGATTGTAAACAATGATTGTAAACTGTTTTCTCAATAAAATCAATTAGACGGCAAAAAAATATATTTGTAATTATAAATATCAGCTAACATTTTTATAATTGTATTTACATATTTGAAAAAAAAAATTATGGTTAATATTTATTCTGCACATAATAGAGGTAATCACCTAGTATTTATTTATTAGGAAACATCACAACAAGATATAGACTACTCTACTGATAGATTATAAATCATAGTGAAGATCATCTTTTACTTTGCTTGAGAATATACATTGATTTGTTCGTAACTCACCCTCAAAGATAAGACTTGCTGGAGGATAAGAGTTTAATATCCAGATTTTAACGTTAGTAGTTGACATGCCTAGTCGAAGCTAATTCAAATTAAACAAATCTTCCCAAACTCAGACCAGAAAAAAAAAATCATCAGATGTAAACAAGATAATCATAATTGTTACGTTTGGATTCAAATCTGTTTCTATACACTTGTGACTTGGGAGATGTAGGTCCGTGGATGGGATGATTAAAACCTCAGCTGTAAATTAAATAATTACACCAGTACGTATTAATTAATCAGAGATTAGAGAAGCTGGAGAGGAACTGAAGTTGCCTGAGCAGAGGATTGAGAGTCTCCATGAGCTTCTCGCAAGGATGGTTATGAATGCCTTCGTAAGTCGTTACGACGACGTTCGGGTCTTTTGCTAATCTCTGCACTTGTTTCTTCACGTTGCATGTGTGGTACGTACATCTGTAATAGCTCCTGCATTTTGTGAAACACTACTAAGTTTTTGTAGTTTTTTTTTTTTTTTTTGATTTCATATAAAAAATAATTCTTAGTCTTTTGTAAAATTAATCAACATTTTCTTATGTTAGACTTTAGTTATAAATTATTCATTAGACCCATAAATTCATCAATATTACCTCTGGATTTTCAATAGAGTTACGATAATATATTTACATGATTCTACAGAGTTATAAAGCTATGTATCTTTGATAAAATTAATTTGTAAGCCAATATACACTACCTTAAGAAGTTGGCTGATTTGAACTAATTATAAGGTACTTTTATATAAGTACCGTTTAATGTTAAACATAAAACTAGATCGTGCCGGTTGTTAAGCTAATGTTTTTTAGCTACGAAATGTGCTGGTCGATTCCGTATTTGGAAATATACTTTAATATGATGTCACATAATCAGAAATATATATATATATATATATATATATATATATATATATATAGACTAATACGTGGATGTAAATGTGTAAGCGTACCTTGGATGAGCATTGTTCTTGACAGATTTCTGACCGTATTTTCGCCAACGATAGCCATCATCAAGAACATCATCATCGCTTCTCGTTTGAAACGCAATCCTTGGAACTTTCCTCGATCTCTTCTCTTTGTCTTTCTTCTTCCCTTTCTCTCCCTTTTGATCATTCTCAGGTGGTGGCGCATGCACATGGAGGCTCGTTGGATACCAAGAAAAAGGAGAAGAAGAAGGCTCTAATACTTCGTTGGAATATGTTAACGGAGGCATCATCATTAGGGTTTTATCAACAAAGGAAGAGAAGGTGGTATAACTGGTGTTGCTGTTTTCGACATCTAGGCTTAACATAGAATTTATGTCTTGTCTTTCCATATTGTTCTATAAGTCTCTCTCTCTCTCTCTCTTCCGAGCTATATGTATAGATGATGCGTAATGTTAGATTGTGAAGAAGAAGTAAAGAGTAAAAAGGGCATTGGGGCCAACTAAGTTCACCTAATTTTCTGTTCAACTGCCTTTTACTTCCATTTAGTTCCTTGCATGTGTTATTAAACTTTAATTTATTATCTCCCTCCTTTTTTCCTATCTCTTTTTTTCTTCTCCGTTTTAGATATGGGAGATTCTATTGGGATAACATATGTCCACTCGTTTTTTTTCTTCCCTTTGTGTAGATAATATCACTCGATCTAAGTACCCATGGTATATTTGAGACTTGAGAAATTAGAATAATAAGAAAATCATTAAATTGTACTTCTTACAATTATTTTTGCCGATAATTAAAGTGCTACTAAAAATGTGACTAAAAAAAATATCAGTACGCATGATCCAATTATACTTTATTCCTAACTCGTACCACACTAGTAAACCGTTCAATCAAATAAACCTTTTATTCAAGGGTCACACAGGCATGCAATGTGTACGAAGAATTTAGAGTACATGCATGCATAAGGCTAATTAAGGCAAATTAAAAAAATATATTTATATATATATATATATATATATATAAATATTAGTTGCAAGATAATTAAGCCTACATTCACCATAAGCATCGTAAGCAAAACCTCACTGTTATAAACTTATAATATGGTTTCAAATCAATTGGTGGGTAGAATGATTTATATGATTATATCCAACACAAACGAAGATTCTAGAAACATGTGTACGGTTCATTCATTTGGATCAAATCACCTATTTTATTCGGATCTGTTGAATTCAATACTATGTCTTTATTGCATTCAATATTATGCCGTGATTTATGCAAGAATTTTGATGAGTTTAATCTGAAAATTAATTGAGGAATGAATACAAAAATAACACACCTTAATATTCATGGTGCCCAAAAACGATAAACTATCAAAATGACGCGCGTTAAAAATAAAAATTTATAGCAAATAATTAGTTGTATTTATGTATTTCATGGAAATGAAGTGGCGTGGCTCTAAATACGGATAAACGACTAACTCAACTTAATCATATAATTATGGTTGTAGTGGGTAAGAATCTCATTTGACTCCTAAATTGATTAACCTCCTTCTACTCTATAAACACGTATAAGTTTCCCATGACCAATACACGAACTTTATAAATGAACTTATATGTTTATCCAGGCCTGTGTTTATTAGTAACTAAATCCTCACTATATATAAGCTTTTATATCTTTATAATTGCGATAATGCGTGCATGCGTTTGTTTCCCCCTTTTTCTCAAGAACAGGAAAATCGAGTAGTAGTTAATATAGGACATATGCCCATTAAATCCTATTACATTATACAATTAATATTTATGATATTCTTTAGTTTTATTCCAATATCCATAGATGCAAGGTCAAACTTCACATGATATATAATATGGATATCATATATTCCGAATAAAGTAGGTGGTTAATGAAAATGTTTGGTCTTGCTGCATCTTAAGAAGATGAGATAAAGAAGTGATATTCCTCTAGCAAAAAAAATTGAAGAAGAAGAGATCTACGCCCTGATTGGTTAGTGAAGGCTGGAAGCTCTATGTTTTTTGCTGTAGACTTTAAGCTTTCGGATTTTTTTGTTGCCGTAGCTTTGGTTCTGATTTTCATAAATAAAAGCTTGACTGTATATATAAGTGATGCTCGGAGAAGAGAGAAATGAAAGAGAAATTGAGTGAGAGCTCAAAATTATGTGCTTTAGAAAAATATGCTTTCTACAGCCAAAAGAGAAGGAGAGAAAATATTTTAGCTGTGAAAAAAGAAAGCTAGTTATTGATTGGATTAATTCAAAGGCTCTAGAAAATGTTCAAGGTCTTGGTGACATAAAAGTAGTCAAAGTTTTTTCAAGTGGTAAATAAAAGATGGTAAATAATTGTGGAATACTGTCGTTAATAATATACTAGGTAAAAGAGAATGGTAAGAAAATAAAGAGGCGGTAAAAGTTGTTCTAGAGTGAGCCCAGCCCACTAGCCCATTTTATTTTATTTTTGTCTTTCTTCTCTCTGAAACATCACCGAAGGCGAAGAAGAGAAGGAAACATCCGCAAATTCGAAATGGCGTCGATTCTGGGTGATTTGCCTTCCTTTGATCCTCACAATTTCAGTCAACATCGTCCCTCCGATCCTTCTAATCCCTCTGTATGTTCTTCCCTCTATTTTCAGTCAAACACTCTCATTTTTTCGGTGAATTTGGGTAGAATCGGATCTGAGTTCGATTTAATTAGTTTTCCTGAAAATTGTGGATTGAGTCTCAGTTTCCTTAATCTGGAATCTGATCCAATTTTGATCATGTTGGATCCTGTGAGAAACCATCAAACCAAGAAAGTAGCAATTTTTTTTTCTCACCAGATTTGATTTCTGAATCAGAATTCTGTTTCCACTGGCCTTAATTAGCTGTTTAATTACTTAATTCTGTTATCTCATATCAGATGAAAAGTTTTCATTTTTATTGCATATAACAGTTGAATTTAAAAGAGCTTAAAGATTAGGAATTTTTTTTAATATCTGTTATCGAAGATTTTGAGTTTTTGTTCAATGTTTTTTTTTTTTGAAACAGAGGATGGTTCCAACTACTTATCATCCTACTCACAACCGTACACTACCACCACCAGATCAAGGTAAAATAAAAAAGTCACCTTTTTTTTGGTCTTGCCTTCTTCAGTAACTACGTTATATATAGTCTACATGTGGCCTTGAACTTGTGATGTTGGCCAGAAACTGATCCTGAACTTGTATTAAGTGAGTTATCTGATTATGAAGAACTATCTTTCACATGATTCACTTCTTAGAATAGACTCGGAGATTTGAACTCGTGACAAATGGGTGCTAATCAAATACAATATAGTCTTGAGTTTTATGGATAGCTCATTGCTGATTTTCTAGATTTCATCTCTTTATTCCGTTGATTTTTTGTGGCAGTGATAACTACCGAAGTCAAAAACATACTTATACGCAGCTTCTATCAACGAGCTGAAGAAAAGGTGATAGAGATTCAATCCTCAAAGTTTCTTAATTTTTTTTATTTATTTGAATCGTTCATCCTCCTCGTAGTTCATAACAAAGCTAGTTTCTTAGGAAGAAATTTGTTTTACCGTGTGAGATATAGAACAAGTGTTAAACTCTGTTTTTTGTGGGTCAAATTTTGTCATTTGCAGTTGAGACCAAAGAGACCGGCTTCAGAGCATCTGGCGGGTGAGCACGGGAACAAGCATTTCCGTGCTTCATCATCTACTCAGGGATTATAAAAGCTTTCAACCCTATAATAGTCATGTTGTATGAGTCTTTTGTTAGTGTTCTTATTAGTGGGTTGTTTACAAAGTGAATGCCTTTAATGGTAGAAAAAAAGATAAGAGCAGCTCTTGTAACAGGATTGTAGAGAAAATGTGTATCCTGAAACAGAGTGTTCCTCATAGACTTTGGTGGAAACATGCTGTTTGTATTTTCCTGTACAGTTACATTCAAATATTCCTTTTGAAAATTTCTCTTCTTCTACGTGTATTTTTCTGAGTACAGGTTTCTTTGAAATTTGAAAGGCCAACATTCTAAAACAGAGAGGATCTGGCTCATCTTCTGTCAGGGTTTTCATTATCTCACATCTTTTTCACCGAAAAATGTCTGAGCTTTTGACAAAGTCAAATCCTGATTTACCAGTCAAAACAGAGGGGAAGCCAGTGGTCCTCGACGACCATAAGGAAACACGGTTTTTTATGAGTCGTCGAGGAAGCATGCTTGTAAATTTCCGGTACACTTACATACAAATTACTTTGAATTTTCCTCCTCTTCTTTACGCGTTTTTGTTTCAATATATAAACAGTGGACTTGTTTCCTCGGCCATACGATTGTGATTCTTTCTTCAAACTCTTTTTCTCCTTACTCTCCTCCATAGATAGCTTATCTTCTTCGATCTCTCTTTTCTCTCATGGCTTCTTCTTCTTCGACTCAGATCAGAAGATACCATGTCTTCCCGAGCTTCCACGGCGCAGATGTCCGTAAAAGGTTTCTCAGTCATTTACACAATTACTTTGAAATCAAAGGGATCACGACTTTCAAGGATCAGGAGATCGAGAGAGGCAATTCGATCGGACCTGAGCTCGTGAAAGCGATTAGAGAATCCAGAGTCTCGATCGTTCTGTTCTCGACGAACTACGCTTCTTCGAGCTGGTGCTTAGATGAATTGGTCGAGATCTTGAAGTGCAAAGAAGCTTCGGGGCTGATCGTGATGACGATTTTTTACGATGTTGATCCGTCCAGTGTACGGAAGCAGAAGGGAGATTTCGGGAACGCTTTCATGAAAACTTGCCAAGGAAAAACAGAGGAAGTGAAGCAGAGATGGAGCAAAGCTTTGACTGATGTCGCAAACATCGAAGGAGAACATTCTCTCAATTGGTATGAATTGTTTCTTTTTATCTTTCACAAGAAATGGTGAAGCTTTCGTAAACTTAGACCTCTCAAACACGATTTTGTTTTTTTTTTTTTTTGGTAGGCCTAACGAAGCAGAGATGATCCAAAAGATTGCTAGAGATGTTTCGAACAAACTGAATGTTACACCTTTCAGGGATTTTGACGGGATGGTCGGACTTGAAGCTCACTTGACAAATCTGAACTCGATGTTATGCCTGGAGAGCGATGATGTGAAGATGATTGGAATTTGGGGTCCTGCCGGAATTGGTAAGACTACCATTGCTAGAGCTTTATACAATCTACTGTCTAGCGATTATCGACTTAGATGTTTTATGGGGAACCTTAGAGGAGGAAGTTTTAGGAGCATGATTGGTGTTGATGATTATGATTCCAAGCTGTGTTTGCAAAACCAACTTCTATCCAAGATTTTGAACCAGAGGGATATGAGGGTACATCATTTCGGTGGGATAAAAGAATGGCTACAAAATCAAAGAGTGCTTATCATTCTTGATGATGTAGATGATCTAGAGAAACTAGAGGCTTTAGCTAGAGAACCTTCTTGGTTCGGTCATGGAAGTCGGATCATCGTGACCACAGAAGATAAAAAGATTTTGAAAGCACATGGGATCCAAGATATCTACCATGTGGATTTCCCATCCAAAAACGAGGCTCTTGAGATCTTTTCTTTATCTGCTTTCAAACAAAGTTCTGTACGAGATGGTTTTGAAGAGCTTGCAAATAGAGTAGTAAAGTTTTGTAGCAATCTTCCATTAGGCCTTTCTGTTGTGGGTTCGTCTTTGCGTGGGGAGAGCAAGAACGAGTGGGAAATTGAGCTATCTAACATGGAAAAAAGTCTTGACAGAAAAATTGAGGATGTGTTACGAGTGGGATATGACAGATTGTCGAAGAAAGATCAAGCTCTGTTTCTCCACATTGCATGCTTCTTTTTCTTCCATGAAGATGTTGATCATGTGGCAGACATGCTCGCTAATAACAGTAACATCGATGTTCCAAGTGGGTTGAAGACCTTAACTGAAAAGTCTCTGGTGCATATCTCTCATTATAGACAGATAGTGATGCACTCTCTACTACAACAGTTGGGTAGGCAAGTAGTTGTTCAACAGTCTGACGAGCCTGGGAAGCGTCAGTTTTTAGTAGAAGCCGAAGAGATTCGTGATGTACTGGAAAATGAAACAGTAAGTTCTCACAAATATGAATGTATATTCTCTAGTGTTTCTTTTCTGTGATAACAATTTCATCAGTTTTCTCTTTTGTATTATTTGGTAGGGTACTTCATCTCTCATAGGTATAACATTAGATACGACCTATATCGACAAGCTCTATATAAGCAAGCGAGCCTTTGAAGGAATGCACAATCTCCAATTCTTAAGAATTTACCAACGATTGGGTGGTAGCTTCCTACACATAAAAGAGGACTTGGAATATCTACCTCGTCTAAGGTTACTAAAGTGGGATTACTACCCGAGTAAAAGTCTTCCTGCAAGCTTTCAGCCAGATCGTCTCGTCGAGCTCAATATGCAATTCAGTAATCTCAAGAAGCTCTGGGGAGGAATCCAGGTTGGTTATTTGATATTCTTTAAAGCAATATTGATTCAACCTAAATAAGATTGATATATCTCACTTGTTGTGTATTAACATGCAGCCCCTTGCAAAACTCAAGAACATAAAGTTGGACCATTCCGATAGGTTGAAAGAAATCCCAGATCTTTCGAATGCTACTAATCTTGAGACACTGTCACTTACGTTTTGCTCAAGTTTGGTGGAGCTTCCCTCCTCTATTAGGAATCTACACAAACTGAAGAAGTTGCTTATGAGATGCTGCGAAAAGCTACGAGTTATTCCCACCAACATCAACTTAGCATCTCTTGAGGAAGTCGACATGAGTAACTGCTCGCAGTTGAGAAGTTTTCCAGATATCTCGAGCAACATCAAGACTCTCCACGCGAGAAACACACAGATAAAAGACGTCCCTGCATCAATTGTTGGACGTTGGTCTCGTTGTGAGAAGCTTGCGATAGGCAGCAGAAGCCTTGAGAGATTAACACATGTCCCGCTAAGTGTTACCTCGCTAGACCTAACCAACAGTGATATAAAGAAGATTCCAGATTGCATCATAGGTCTCCAGCATCTAGTGAAGCTCGTCGTCGAGAACTGCACAAAGCTCGAGTCAATTCAGGCTCTTCCCCCTTCGCTCGTGTCCCTAAACGCAAACAATTGTGTATTTATGAAGAAAGTATGTTGCCCTCTCCACAAACCAGTCGAGGCACTCACGTTCTACAACTGTTTGAACCTGGATGAAGAAGCAAGAAGAGGAATCATACAACAATCGGTTCGCGATTATATATGCTTACCAGGTAAAGAAGTCCCTGCAGAGTTCACTCACAAAGCCACAGGAAAATCCATAAACATCCCTCTGGCTCCGGGTGGTGAAGGGACTTTCTCTGCTTCCTCAAGATTTAAGGCTTGCCTTCTGCTTTCGCCAATTAAGCGGCGTCGATTTATTAGTATAGTTTGTAGACTAAGAAGCAAAGGAGATGTTACAACCAAATTTCGGAGATCTGTATGGTATTATGATCTGCCTCCTCTATCGAAACATCTGTTTATATTTCGTGGTGGTGAAATTGGTGTGGGTACGAGCGAGATTACATTTGAGTTCAGCTGCGATGACAACGATGCCAAGATCATTGGGTGTGGTGTACAGTGTAAGAGTCGTGACTCCACAAGGAATGTGTTACACATGGAAGAGCGGGAATAACACAAGTTTGCAAGTGACACATAGGATGCAGGATGAATGCTAACGTGGCACCACTGATCCAAGGAAAGGAAGAAGATCCTCATAACAAGAAAGGAAGATCAGAATCTTAACAGAAAACGGAAAAGAGATATACTCGAGACAAAAGGGTATAAATCCTAAGTGAAAGGGGCTCAGTAGGGTTAGCCGTCCTGAGCAAGTATTGAGAGAGCAATATTCACAAGAAGCTGAGTGAAACGTGAGGTTCTTGGTGAGTGATTGTAATCTAGTTACACAACTGTTGTTGTGTTAGGTTGGGTAGATTAGGAATTGGTCAGTGTCGAGTTGCTGTGCAAGGTCGTGTAAAACTGATTAGACAGATCATTTGTGATTGTCTAAGTGATTTCTAATAAGAGGCAAAAATGTGTTTTGCAAAATCAGTGTGTTCAACATATAGTCTCTGTGTTATATCCTTTTCATTTGGTATCAGAGCGGGTTGCCTATCTAGATCAGTGGAACTATATCAGGTTTAGATTTTGTGGTGACTGTGGATATCATGGAGACCTCCAAGAAGTTGATTGTTGTGCATAAGCCACTGATACTTCGTGCAGGGAACTTTGGTCATTGGAAAGCTCGTATGCGACATCATATCAGGGCTATTAACGAGGACGCTTGGACCGCTGTGGAACAAGGATGGGAGTACCCAACTGTTGTATCTGAGGATGAGAATGGGAAGAAAATCCTGATTCAAAAACCCAAGAACACCTGGACTGAGACTGAAAAAAACCTTTCAAAGTTTAACTCTAAGGCTATTTCTGCTATCTTTGTTGCTGTTGATCTGGACGAATTTGGGATCATCCAAGGGTGTGATTCAGCAAAAGAAGCCTGGGATACTCTGGTGAATCATTTTGAAGGCGATACGAGTGTTAAGAGGACTCGAATTGATCATTTGGCGTCTGAATTCGAGAACCTCAAAATGAGTGCGGATGAGTCAATTGCTAGTTTCACCACCAAGCTGAGCACTATTGCGAATGAGGCTACTGTCCTTGGGAAAACATACAAGGACAAGAAATTGGTCAAGAAGTTGCTTAGATGTCTACCTCCGAAATTTGCAGCTCACAAAACTGTTGTGAAGTATTCTATGGATACAGACAACCTGAAGTTTGACAAACTTGTTGGTCTACTTAAGGCAGAGGAAATGGAGGCAACAGATGATCAAAAGAGTGGTCAGAAGGGTATTGCTTTCGCAGTTACTGATGACGATAAAAGGATGATGCAGGTGGAAGAAAACCTAAGTCTTCTTGCTAAGAACTTCAACAAGATGCTCAAAAGAGTTGAAAAGGGGCAAAATCGATTCACCAAGGTTCAAAGAGCAGACTCGGATCGAGGAAATTACAAGAAGACCGAAAGTGACCGTCCTGGAAAGAAACGAGACCTGCAGTGCCATGAGTGTGAAGGTTTCGGCCACTTCAAGAGTGAATGTCCTTTGACTAAGAGGAAAGAACTGAAGTGTGGAGAGTGCAAAGGTTTCGGACACACCAGAGCCGAATGTCCTAACAATCTGAAAAGTAAGGACAAGTCCATGATCGTGTTCAAAGACTCTGACACTGATGAGGAGGAGGAACTATAAACCGAGAATCTTATGTTTAACTTTATGGCATTAACGGTTCAAGATGAGAAGAAATCTCAATCTGCACTTACAGATTCGGAGTCTGAATCAGAAGAGGATGACATAGATCCCAAGACAGAATACCGCAAACTGTAAGACAACTGGGTGAAGTTGAGTACAGAAAATCTTCAGTTAGTAAAAGAAAAGGCACTGTTGAAGGCACAGCTCAATATCTTTGAAATGGAACGAACGCCTCTATCAGCTGATGAATCTGACAAGTCAATCGACTTGAAGGGTGAAGTGGACTTGGACCTGAAGGATGAGTTAGCTAAAGAGCAAGAAAGAAGGAAGGTTCTTGAAGATAAACTCGACAATCTGAGGGAGGTTGTGAGTCTTGAAAAGGAGAAGGCAAGAGATCTTCAAAGTCAGTTGGTTGAGAATCATAAAAAGATCAGGATGCTCAACACTGGAGCTGAGTCTCTGGACAAGATTCTGTGTGCTGGACAACCTCCGAAGAAGAATTGGGGTTTGGGATATTCAGGAGGAGTTCTGATAGACCGTCCCACGACACAAGCTGGTCCAATTCCAGGTTTTGTTTATGGAGGAACATCTGTGAGTGAACTGTCAAAGGAGTGTGCTGGAAAGTCATCTGTGAGTGAACCTTCAAAGGAGTGTGCTGAAAAGCCCCAGGTTATAGAAAAATCTGTCACTCGAGAATCAAAAGAAGAGACCATGTGTCTGAAACAAGAGACAAAGGTCAAGCCAATCAGTGGTGGGAGGAAGAAACGAGCATGTTTCTTTTGTCACAAAACGGGCCATATTAAGAGGAGATGTTTCAAACTGAAGAAAATTATAAAAAGGGCTTGGAGCCAGCGCCAGTGTTATCCAGAACCAAAGCACTTTGGAAAGGTGTGGATTGACAGACGAAGAAGCAAGAAGAGGAATCATACAACAATCGGTTCGCGAGTATATATGCTTACCAGGTAAAGAAGTCCCTGCAGAGTTCACTCACAAAGCCACAGGAAAATCCATAAACATCCCTCTGGCTCCGGGTGGTGAAGGGACTTTCTCTGCTTCCTCAAGATTTAAGGCTTGCCTTCTGCTTTTGCCAATTAAGCGGCGTCGATTTTTTGAAATAGATTGTAGACTAAGAAGCAAAGGAGATGTTACAACCGAATTTAGGAGATCTGTACGGATTTCATATGATCTGCCTCCTCTATCGGAACATCTGTTTATATTTCGTGGTGGTGAAGTTGGTGTGGGTACGAGCGAGATTACATTTGAGTTCAGCTGCGCTAACAACGATGACAAGATCATTGGGTGTGGTGTACAGATCTTGACGGAAGAAGCTAGCAGCAGGGAAGTGGACTACTTTGATACCGAGAGTAGCAGCAGGGGGGAAGTGGACTACTATACCAAGACTAGAAGCACCGACAACGACTACTTTGCAAATTTACTTCAGGTTTTATTTAGTTCAAAGCAAAATGTACAAGTGGACTGGCGTCAAATACTCGTTCAATTTCAAACCAAAATGTACAAGTGGACTGGCGTCAAATACTCGATTAGGTGGTGGGGTGTGGGGGTTTCACACTTTCAAACCCGTTTGAATATCTCTGTTGACTGTTGTTCAGTCTTAAATCTATGCTGTTTAGTTGTTTGGTTGGTTTGAAAAAGCTGGTGTATTGTGTCCGGATCCCATTTGGGAATTTGTTACCCAGCATTTTGCTTCATGAATTGTTTGTACTTCCAGAACAAAAACAATTTTGTAAAAAGTTCATAAAAAAATATAAATTGAAATTTGTTGGTTCTATTAATATGAATTCTTATGTCACACTTGTAACATAGTCTTGAGATAATTACTAGAACAAACTTCAAAAGTTGCCTCTTTACTAGAATAATTCTGCCCCAAATTTAAAAACTAAATTAACTTTAATAAATTGATTAAAGACATTAAAATTCATGTTTTCGTTTTTATAACAAAAATGTCATTATATTTAAATTTTAGAATTGCTTTTTTTTATATTTATCAATATAATGAACAAAAAATTAAAAAAGAAATTGTGTCTCTTTAAAAAAACCTCTCAAATCTCTGCGGCGATTGTGGTTCCGATTTCGAAGCTGTCTTCTTCTCCAACGAGATTGTGTAACTGTTCCAGTCTTAAGGCCATAGATTCCAGCCAGAAGTGGGTAAGGTATCTTCATTCTCCTTTATCTGTTCGTCTTCTCCGTTTTGTTTTCTTCTTTTCTTCTCCTTCGTGTCTTCTTATTTTGTAGGAGACATATTCCGGTAATAAATTATTATTTTTTGCAAGGACTGAATTTCGGGTGAAAGGCGTCAAAATTCACCATATCTACTCTGCTGCTGCTTTCCAGCAGATGTATTCCATCGTCCTTCCACACAAGATATTCTATCTTTGGCCCATTTGCTCGTGTTTTTAGTTGATATGATGATTCAAGAAATATGCCCACCAACTGTTCGACGTAATTCCACCAATGATGGTAGAGTTATTTGTAGATTTTCATTTGGTAGATTTTCATTAATGGTAGATTTATTTTTCTAGTGGTGGTAGATTTGTTGTCAAATGATGGAAGATTGGATTTGTTTATCAAAAAAATTATTTGTATATTTGTTTGCTTGAATAGTAGTAAATTTATTTATTTAATGGTAAATTTAATGTAGGATTTGATAGATTTATTTGAAATAGTAGTAAATTTCCTTAAATAACAATTTAATAATTGCTTAGTATGTATAATCAAATTGAATGAGATATAAACTAAAAGCATATGATACAACCCAATAATATAAAACAAATTAAAATATATATTCATTTTATATATCAAAAAAAGAAAACAAACAAGCACAAATAAATAAAAAAACTATTTGGCATTTCTAACACAATCAAGCATTGTCTAGCAAATAACCAAATATCCTATATGATTCATTGTAGATTAAAGTATTAGTATAACTTTTCATTAGTTATTGACAATTTAGTACTTCAAAAAATTCATATATCAAACTAAATCTACCATCATTACAATAAATGTACCACCAAACAATAATTTTTGTCATACTTAGTCCTGTGACGATCATCTTCACGATGGATGCCGAGTTTTTTTTGCAAATATAAAGTTTTTTTGGGGCAAAATTGTCATTTGACATTCCATAGTTTCAACAAATCTACCATCATTAATAAATAAAAAATCTATCAATTTCAGATAAATCTACCAAATCAGATATTTCTACCTATTTATAATTAAATATACTAATTTACGATAAGTCTACCAATTTTTTGTTTTTCAAATTGTTATATAAATCTACCATCATTATTAATAAATCTACCAAGTTTTGTACAAATCTACCTATTGTTAATAAATCTACCGTCTCTTCAAATAAGTTTACTACACAAAAAAATCTAGGAATCATAATTTATCATTAATAAGTCTACCGTGTCTACTAACAAATCTACCATTTCAACAATAAATCTACCAATACGAAGATAAATCTATCAACACACTATTAAATCTACAAAAGCATGATTAATCTACCGCCATTAAAAATAAATATACCTTTATTGAGACTCAAACCATCCAACGATAAGTCTATTATCATTAAACAAAAGTCTACCTCGGACAATAATAAACCTACCGTCAAATAGGATAAAAATCTACCAATTCGGTATACTATCTACCAAAAATTCAACCAAAGTCAACCACCACAGAACAAGTCTACCAAATCGTATCAAATCTACCCTCATTATAAACAAGTCTATCAGAAATTTATTAAGTCTACTGATCACTTACATCTCTACCACACATAAGAATAAATTTATCAAAATAAGTCTACCAACATCAAACAAATCTACCAACGTTAAAACAAATGGACCGTTATCGGATAAATCTACTAACCCAAAAACAAATCTACAGTTATAATCTTATAGATATAAATCTACCAAAAAAATATATCTACCGTGAAATATTGGTAGACTTATTTATTTGAGCGCGCTGGTTTTTCCGTAAATAAATCAAACTTTTGCTGACGTGAATTATAAATAGTAAGGGAGGATTATTGTACTAACCTTAGAAAGTATCTATATAACTTGTTTAGCGCACTTTTATTTTTTTTACAAAACTAACCTAGCATACCCAAAATACCATTTTCGTCTTTGTCGAAAAAAACCTAATTACGAAAATACCATTACTTTTTAATGCCACGTAGGCAGAATAAGCGCTGAAAATTTGATAAGTCTACCAGACTTTGATGGTAGACTTATCAAATTTTGGTCAACGGAAAAATTTTGTCGGTAGAGTTATTAGGTCGATGGTAGATTTATTCGAGAGTTAGTAGAGTTTACAAATGTTGGTAGACTTATCTTGGTAGAGTTTTGACGATGAGAGGTAGATTTCTTATGTTTTGGTAGATTTGTTGTTATGAATGACAGACTAGATTTGTTAAAGAAAGCGTTGACTTTGTCGCATAGTTGACTTTGTAGGTAAATTTATTGACAATGAGGTAGATTTAATTTCTGAGTTGGTAGACTTATGTCATTTGACAGTAGATTTATGTGAAAAAAGTTGTCAATACGTGACGGTAGATATATCTGTTTTATGGTAGAGTTATATTTAGTTGGTAGATTTTTTGTTTTTGTGGTAGATATGTTTGTTTTGTGGTAGATTTAAATTCAAGTAAAATTACGATTTTTCTCAACAAAAGCTAAAAGGGTAGAATATGTACGGTAGATTATTCTAATAATTAAAATTTTTGAAAGCTTGTTTAAATAATTTCCAGATTTTTGAAGGTTATTATAGTTATCCTCCCTATAGTCTTTCACTATTTTGAATCCTGATGCTGATAAAAAAAAAAAAAATTCACGTTTCTAAATTTCAGAATTTAACAGTAGAAGGCTCTTACCCGCATTTTGAAATTTCAACCTTATATATACATCAGCGTTTTCATGTAGTTTTCTTTTCTGGATATGCATAGAGAGATTATTCTTTAGAATATTGATGCAGTCGTAATTTAAATCAGACATTATTCTGATTAGCTAAACAAAAGTTGTTTAAATATAACCCAAAAGCGAATCCTGCGATGAAGTGGATGCAATATGGGACTACGAACAAGATTCAATTTGCATTCACCTGCGAGGAAAATGACATGATTTTTGAGTAGTGGAAGCAGCAAGTATTGACATTTCAAACGAATTAAAAGTCGGTTTAGTTATCAAACCAATTTTAAAATTGGAATGGGGTTTAGAATCATAATTTGAATCTTTTCATGCACGGTTTAAGTTTTGAAACCAAAAATGTTACAATTGGACTGGTGTCAAATAGGTGGTGGTGGGTCTTCTTAGTTCGTCTTCGTCCTCTAATTTCTCTACTGTCGGATTCTGATATTTTTATCTCTGAGCTCAAATAAAAACAACCAGACTTGGTCAAATGTCTTTGAAATGTCTTTGGTCTTTAAGCATTTTGCTTCAGATATATAAAGAAGGGATTTGTTTCTTCCTCGAGGCTCCATAGATATCTGATCCAAAGCCACTGTGATAGATACTTTCTTCAACCTCTCTGTTTACTCTCTCTCTCGCTCTCACTCTCTATCCAAAGCCAGTGGTCCTCTCCTCGGCGGCTATAACAAAAAAAAAACAAACTTTTGAAACAAGCCAGTAGTTTCCAGTACAGTTCTCATACACACTCACTTTGAATTTTCTTCTCCTCTTTACCCGTTAGGCCTCTATATATGAACAAGGAAGCTTGTTTCCTTAACCACTGCTATACTTTCTTTAAAAACTCTCTGTTGCTCTTTCTCTCTCATGGCTTCTTCTTCTTCTTCTTCTTCTTTTTCTTCGTCTCAGGTGAAGAGTCTTCATGTATTTCCGAGCTTCCACGGCCCAGATGTTCGTAAAGGATTCCTCAGTCATTTACACGATCTCTTTGCAAGGAAAGAGATCACGATTTTCAAGGATCAGGAGATCGAGAGAGGCCAAACGATCGGATCTGAACTCGTGAAAGCCATTAGAGAAGCGAGACTGTCCATCGTTTTGCTCTCGAAGAACTACGCTTCTTCGAGCTGGTGTTTGGACGAACTGGTGGAAATCTTGAAGTGCAGAGAAGTTCAGGGGCAGATTGTGATGCCCATTTTCTACGATGTTGATCCGTCGCATGTACGTAAACAAAGAGGTGACTTCGGGATCGCTTTTGAGAAAACCTGTGAAGGTGAAACAGAGGAAGTGAAACAGAGATGGGTCGAAGCTTTGACATGTGTAGCAACCATAGCTGGAGAACACTCTCGTAACTGGTTGGTTTTGAGCTCAATGAACCTGCAGAAATTCTTTTTTAATTATCTTTCGTTTAAGATTTTGTTTTTTTTTCCAGGACTGATGAAGCTGAGATGGTGGAAAAGCTTTCCACAGATGTCTCGAACAAACTGAGAATGGAAGAGATTAAGAAATTCTTTAGGGAAGCCGATGTGGACCAGAATGGTTTCATAACTGCAGCAGAGCTTCGATATGTGTTGACAAAAGATGGGAAGGAATTTACCGATGAGAAAGTTCGTCATCTCATTCGAGTAGCTGATGTTGATGGCGATGGTCAGATCAACTATGATGAATTTGCCAAACTCAGCATGGATTTGTGAGGGCCTTAACCTCAAAGAAAAAACAAGAAAAAGAAAAACGATTATGATGTCTTACAGTGAAATCTTACATCATGATTTAGAACGCTTTTGTCTCTCTTAATTCATGAATCTAATAAAATTCTGTTTTTTTTTTCTTTTGTTAGGATGACTGATGAAGATGCTGCGCTCGAAAAGTTTTCAACAGATTTAGTGAATAAACTGAGATTGGAAGAGTTTAGGGAATGCGATGTAGACCAGAATGGTTACATAACTGCAGCAGAGTTTCGATATGTGATGACAAAAGATGGGAAGGAATTTACCGATAAGCAAGTTCGTGATTTCATCCGAGCATTTGATGTTGATGGCGATGGTCAGATCAACTATGATGAATTTGCCAAATTCATGGCTATGTGAGGGATTCTTAACCCTTCTTAAAAGCTTTAACCTGAAAAAAAACGGATTTATGATGTCTAACACTGAATTTTCATCATGATTTATCTATAATAATCTAATCAGATTTTTTTGTTTTTAATTTTTGTAGGGAGGCTGATGAAGAAGCTGCGATGGTTCGAAAGTTTGCCACAGATGTTACACTGTCGAGGGAGGAAGAGAAAGCAATTAAGGAATTATTTACGGGTTTAGATGTAGACCAGAATGGTTTCATAACTGCAGCAGAGTTTCAATATGTGATGAAAAATAGTGGGAGCAAACTAACCGATAAGGAAATTCGTAATTTCTTCCGAAGAGCTGATGTTGATGGCGATGGTCATCTCAACTACGATGAATTCGTCAAAGTCAAGATGGCTGAGTGAGACATTCTTAACCCTTTATAGATAAAGCCTTTGTTTATAATGTAAAACGGCTTTGTCTTTTTTTAAAATCGATGATTCAGTCGTGGAGTTTCTATAATCTTATAAGATTCTGTTTTTTTTTTTTTTTTCTTTTGTTAGAAGGAGGAGGGCTGATGAGGAAGCTGCGAGGGTCGAAAAGACTGCAACAGATGTCTTGAACAAAGTGAATAAATTCGTCAAATTCATGGTGAAAGCTTTTATCTTGAAGAAAAAAGAATAACGATTTACGAATGTCTAAGTAAATTTTCATCATGACTTGAACCTGGCTGTCTTCTTTAGGACATGTTTTTACTTCTTTAATTTCCACCTTCTATTTGGTTGCTTTGTTAAGCTCTTCAATTAATGTTATGTCAAGTATGAACTCATGTTTTGCTCATCTTGTGACATTTGATTTTCTCTCTTTGTTTTTTTGTTTCTATATTTCTCTTGTTTTTTTTCTTCAATATAATGTACTACAAATTGGCCGCCAAAACGTCTAGGGTAGTTGAAAATACTCAGACGACACAAGTTTAACCGGTAAAAATTTGGTCAAAGAAAAAGGTCAACGCTCGATTAGTCTCTCACAAATCACTAGAAGGAAGATTCCTGATCTTTATCACAAGAGGAAGCAAGAGACTGTATTATCTCGTTTTAAAACTAAACTAAATTCTAATCCCGTGTGTTTGCACAAGAATTTTTTTTTGTTTAACGAATTTCGTAATATAATTTATGTTTTTTGAGTTTAGATAAAATTATTTTTATAGATATAGTTTTTTAATAAGTAAAAATATTTATTTTTTTAATTTAGATATAATTTGCTTTTTATAAATTCTTTTTTATAATATTAAAGATAATTGTGATTATTAAAAATATAATTTTACCATGTCCATTCATATTAATCCAAAAAAAAATATAATTATAAAATTTTAATTTTAACTTGCCCGTTCATATTACTTTATAATATAAATATTTATTAAAGTTTGAGATGTATCAACGGTATTTTATTTATCATGAAATATCTTATAAATAGTTTTCTAAATTTAATCTTTAATAAATGCATGTAATAATTTTTAATTTATTTTTTTATGTTTTTAATTTTATATAAAAAATATATTTTGGTATACATTTATGATTTTTTTTTTGTTTGTCAACAGCCTCAATACCTAGTACAGTTGGGTTAACCAAACTGGTGGTATTGAGTTTACATACATAACATTTTGAAGGTAGATCCGAGCACTCCTTGCTAGGTTATCCGCCTTCGAGTTCTTTGCGCGTGGGATATGGGATATACGAAAGAAACTGAATTTGTCTTTCATCTTCATTATCTCCTCCAAGTGTAGAGCAAAAGCCGGCCAGTCTTCGGGTGTAGACACTATCTTCACCAACTCTGAACAGTCCGTAGCAAAAGCGACTTCCATCTTTTGATTCTCCAACATACAGTGCATAGCCCATATAAGGGCTTCCATTTCTGCGTGTAGAGGCGTAAGACTTTGTCTTACATTTTGTGCTCCCATTATTTTCTCTGGAACACCTTCCTTAAAATAAAACCATCCTAGACCCGTTACTGGCTCCATATCTTTCCACGATCCATCAATATAGCACCACCAGCCTTCATAGACTATTGGTATTGACTAGCTTGTATTATGACCAAGATCTACATGTGTTAATTCCTGTTCTGAATTTTGAGCCTCTTCCCATAAATTCGCTTCTGTTTAAGCTATTTTTAGCGTAGCCCGTGGGTCAATATCGATATTTGAGTACACTTTCTCGTTTCGAGCCTTCCAAATATACCATGCGATCCATGGAAATTGTATGTTGTTTTCCTCTTTTGGAAGTCTCCAAAACAGATGATCAAAATTCGAAAAAACCGATGGCCCAGGAAAAACCCCTGGGGGTGTTGGAATTCGTGATAATGCCCACGTTTGTAACGCAGGAGGGCATTCAAACAGAACATGATTAATTGTCTCTTCTGCTGCTCCACACCGTGCACATTGTGTGTCACATTGTATTCCCCGAGTACGTAACCTAGCCGACACTGATAGGCAACCAGAGATTGCTTGCCATATAAAATGTTGTAATTTCGGCGCACATTTCAATTTCCAGGTATATGGTTGTAAAACTTTAATATCAGGGCCAAATGAGACCTCTGAGATCCTTTCTGAAAAATATCGTTCAGTTTTGTATCCCGACTTTACCGTGTATTGTCCAGATTTTGTGAAGTGCCAGCCCAATGAGTCTGGCCTATAAGATCTACTAATGGAAATTCCACGAATAATTTCCACATCCTCTGGGTTGATAATGGCCTTTATCAGTCCCAGATTCCATGAGTTTGTCACTGGGTCAATCAGATGATTAACCATAAGATTCGGGTAATAATTAAACCCCTTACAAGTGGCTGATCTTGGGCGAGAAGAAGGTATCCAAGGATCATTCCATACAGAGATTAAACATCCTGAACCAACTCTTTTGATTAGCCCTTTTTTAACCAAAGATCTAGCCGAGATTATGCTTCGCCATCCATACGACGGCGAGTAGGATTTCGCTGTGTCCAAAGGACTTGAGTTCCGAAAATATCGTCCTTTGAATACCTGTGTAAACATGGAGGTTGGCCTGTCAATCAGTCTCCATAATTGTTTTGCCAGTAAAGCCGTATTAAAATCCTCTACATTTCGGAAACCGATACCTCCTTCTGATTTGTCTCTGCACATTTTTCCCCACGCTACCCAGTGCATACCTTTATGATGTCCATCAGAGCTCCACCAATATCGTGCTGCTGCACTTGCTAGTTTTGCCGCAGTAGATTTAGGTAATCGAAAACATGACATGACGAAGGTAGGCATTGCGGATGCCACTGATTTAATCAGAACCTCTTTACCGCCTTTCGACAACAAACGTGATGTCCATCTATTGATCCGATCATGTTGTTTTTCAGCTACAAAATTAAAGATTTTTGTTTTGGCGCCACCTAGGCTTTCGGGGATACCTAAATAGGAACCTGTCCCTCCATCACAAGAAATTCCTAAAATATGTTTCATATCATTTCTAATGTCTTCCGAGACCAAATGACCAAATTGAACTGAAGATTTATCAAAATTAATTTGTTGTCCCGAGACCCTTTCATACTGTTTCAGAATAGCCAGAATTTTCTAGCATTCATCTTTATTTGCTTTACAAAAAAATAAGTTGTCATCCGCGAAAAGTAGATGTGAGATCGATGGACTTGCTCGTGCAATTTTTAGACCGGTCAATAGTTTTTCCTCTTCAGCTTTCTTAATATTGGAAATTAGAACCTCCGTACATAGTATAAATAAATATGGAGATAGAGGATCCCCTTGACGGAGTCCCCTCCCTGGGATTATTTGTCCCTTTGGTTGTCCGTTTAATAGAACTTTGTATTTTACCGAGGTAATACATCGCATGATCAATTTTATCCATTTCTCCGCAAAACCAAGTCGTTTCAAGAGATCTTCTATAAAAGCCCATTCCACACGATCATAGGCTTTGCTCATATCCGTCTTTATCGCCATATATTTATTTTTGCATGATTTATTAGTTCGCAGGCCATGAAACATCTCTTGGGCTATTAGAATATTATCTGAAATCAATCGTCCTGCCACAAAAGCTGATTGTGTTTCCGAGATCAGGTCCGATAATAACCTTTTAAGTCTTTGACAGAGTACTTTAGATATAATTTTGTAAGCTACATTACACAGACTAATAGGCCGTAGTTCAGTCATTCGCGTTGGCCTTTCTGTTTTTGGGATTAAACAGATATTTGTCATATTTAGACGTTCATCAAAAACCCCTGTCTCCAAGAATCCGTTGACTAACGTACAAGATCCGCCTTGATGATATGCCATGAGCGTTGGTAGAAAAGTGCTGTCATTCCGTCGGGTCCCGGAGCTTTTTCCGGATGCATCATGAAAAGTGCTTTTTTAATTTCCTCTTCGGATGCCATAGCCGTGAGCATTGCATTACTTATCTCCGATATTGATGGTTTAATATTTCCCAATGCCTCATCAAATTCCGTTGGCGAAGTCGAGGTGAATAATTCATCAAAATATTTAACAGCCACCTGCTCAACCTCTTTTTCTGAAGTAACCCATGTTCCTGCTGCATTATTCAAACCAATAATTCGATTCCGTGCTCTTCTTTGTTAACCAGTGCATGATAAAATTTTGTATTTTTATCTCCTGCCTTCGCCCAATGAGAGCGGCTTTTTTGTTGCCAATATAATTCTTCATCCCTATAAGCTTCCTTCAACTTTTTTGTTACCGCCATCAATTCCTCCTCTGTTCTTGTATCATCATTCTGAATGTCTTCTATTATGTTTTTTAATTCATTAATTCTTTCCTGCCCATATGGCTTAAGGGTTTTTCTCCATTTAGATATTTCTCTTCTGCAATTCCGTACTTTGTCCATGAACTTCACTTCCCCATCGCCCGGATCGAAGTCCCAACCTTTGGAGATAGATTCCATTAAACCCTCTTTTTCTATCCACCTCTTATCAAAACGGAATTGAGTTTTTTTCCGTGTCATTTTATCCTCAATTGTTGCCATTATTGGCCTATGATCTGATCCAATCATTGCGAGATACTCAACAAAGGAATGTGAGAAAACCTCATGCCAATCTTCATTCGCTAGAGCCCGGTCTAAACGACATCTAACGACTTTTGAATTTCGTCGTCCCCTCCAAGACATCTTATTTCCTAAACATGGGAATTCTAAAAAACCACAGTCCCTTATCATTAAATTAAAAGACACAAAGGTAGAAGCATGTCTTAACGGACCTCCTTGTTTTTCATTATTACCCGTTATCTCGTTTAGATCTCCAATAATGAACCAAGGATCCGACCGTGTAAGACTCATACGTGTTAATCTTTCCCAGACTCTATCCCGATTTTTTGACACTGGATCCCCGTAAATAAACGAGAGGTACATTTTTTTCCGAGAATAGTCGCTTCAATATCAATAATCCGATTATTTGAAAATAAAATTGTGACATCAAAAGAATCATTATAAAATAGGGCAAGTCCACCACTTGCACCGCACGGCTCAACCGTATACAACTTATTATAACCAAAATGAAACTGAAATTTTTGTAAAAAAGAAAAATCTTGTTTGGTTTCTGAGAGAAACATAAACTCTTGTCTGTGTTTCTTCCAAACCTCCCGAAGATAGCTTATTGTCCAGCGATTCCCAAGTCCTTGGCAATTCCAGCTGAGAATTCTCATTTTTTAATGCTTGTTTCCAATTTCCGCCTCTCTTTCGGGTTTGATGGACCCTTTGGAGCGCCATGAGAGCTACCGTCTCCGTTACGGTTTATGACTTTTGCCACCTGTTTCTTACGTGGTGAAATTAGTGCTTGCACCATTCTCTTCTTTGAGCCACCGCCTAAAAATTTTGAGTTTGTCTTCGTGGCTTTCTTCTTTGTA